TTTTAAAAAAAAAAAAGAAGAAGGCGAAGAAAATTAAACATTATGAACAGTAAACAATAGTCAAAGAAAAAGTATTTTTATTAACTTGTTCAGAAGAACCACTTAGTCATTCTCGTCATCATCGTCGTAATCATAATCAAGTTATATAATTAAGGAGTTTCTCACTTCACACATCTCAATTTTGGTAATAATGTTTCTATACATGTACCAATTTTTTAAGCAAAAAAAGTAAAAGATATTTTTATTGATGACTCGCATTTCAATGTAAAAGTCTCATGGTTTTCTCATAGTTGTAATCTTTAACACTTTTTATCGTTAATTTTAATCTTTTGATTTTATCTAGTGAATTTTTGTAGTTCTCCCCATACATGTGTTAATTTTATAAATTAAAAAAATTTGCAAACAAATATATATTTTTTTATCTATTTATGTTAGTCTTTCGGATTTCTCAACTCATCTTCTTTATCACTAATTTTGATGATAAATTTACTTCCTTAAATTCTAGTCGTGTGATTTTCTCAACTTATTTTCTTCATTACTTTTGATATTTAACTTTAGTCTTTAAATATTCTCTAATTTAATATTTTAATTTATTTTTGGCCTTTTATTTTTTCGTTTTTTAAATTTATAGCTTTTTACAATGCAATTTTTTGTAATCTTCTTTCACAAACATATAAATATTTATTAAATTTCTTCCCAGAAAATTCTTTCGACGCATTTTACTCCTTTCAATATTGCTTTCAACTAATGATGTCGAGCAACAGCTTTGTAAAACAGTTCAGAAGTATATCTAAAGGTAAGAGCCACTTGCTTGATTTTAAAACAAGTACTGTAATATCATATGGCCATTTTCTTTTTTACATTCTTTTCATCTTTCATTACACTACACTATAGTTATTTTAGACATGATAAATAAAGATAGAGCAAAATATATTCATCACGCGATATTACATTTTTTTTTTCTTTTTTTTTTCTCGGGGTTACTTTATCTTAATAAAAAAATTTTGTTTTTTTTTAATTTATCTTGTGACCAAAAGTGAAAGTTCATTATTTTTCTTGATACAATTTGAAGGCACTCAATATGGTGTCCTTGCAAATCTAATCTATATATTTATCTTTCTATCAATGTACAATTGTGTAGTATATAGGGCATTCGCTAAACGTGGAATCTAACTAGTTATGCTTAGTTTCTTACATCGGACTTGATATAAATGTTGATGCCAAAATGCGTAGAGGGAAATAATTTACATATAACTAGTATATACTTTATGGGTAAGGTGAGAAATAGGCATAGTTTGAGCCTCTGAGATGCAATTATTAATTAATCTCCACCGGCTTTTCAGATACCACTCCTTCTGGCCAAAGATTTGGGTGGCACATCTTCATCTTCTTTCCCTTTCGAAACAGTTTATTAGTTTAATAATCTTCGTTACCACTTTCGTTCTTATTGTTATTACTGTCAAATAAGTAATTATTGAACTTAGAATAGGGAAATTGTATTGAATTCATGATGTGTTGTGCACAATATACAGACTATATATAGACAATAACAAACCCTATAATAGGAAATATACTAAATATTACAATACGCCCCCGCAAACTCACGGCGGAGAAGAGAGAAGCCGAAGTTTGTCCCGAAATCGAAAGAATAACTCTTTGGACAAGGGTTTTGTCAGAATATCAGCAAGCTGATCAGCAGCAGAGATAGAATTGACCGAAACAAACTTACGCCGAACATGATCTCGAACAAAGTGAAAATCAACCTCAACATGTCTTGTACGAGCATGGAACACAGGATTCACAGCAAGGAAAACTGCACTACTGTTGTCACACCAAATAGAGGGAGAGCGATTTAAAGAAACGCCTAACTCGGACAACAGATGACACACCCAATGCAGTTCAACACAGACATTAGCAACCGCACGAAACTCAGCCTCAGTAGACGAGCGAGCCACAGTGGGCTGCTTCAATAATTGAAAAAAAATAATTCAAATTTGTTCTCTTTCATTATATATTGGTCAAGTGGTTGTTTTGTTCATTACGTGTTAAATTGCTAATGCAAGTTCATTCATTGTACTTGTGGACATTGGTTTTCGTGTTTGCCCATTAAGAATATCTGGTTACCATGAATTGAATTATAAGATGGAAAATTACAGGCAATTTATATCGTGCTTCGTGTTCACAAAAAATGGCGCTCTGGTTTTCCTGTTTGTAAAATACGCAAAAAAAAATGAGTGAATTTTTATAACTTGTTTAAAATTCTTTCACGCGCAGCTGATCTAAGTCAATCAATTCCTTAATTGATTCAATTTTTTCATTTTTTTATCCTAAAAATAAATTATTTCAATAATTAATTGATTTCTCACCTTTCTCTCTCCAAATCAACGGTATAAATTAACTCTAATTCAAAAGTTTATATAACAACTTATTATGAATATTGGGCACCATACTTATGAAAATTGTGACCAATCATCATGAAAATGTAAAAGTACGATGAATTCTTATACAATACATCGTGAACATTATGATATAATATCTTGAATATATGTGGTATTATGAATATATGGGTAATGAAAATATGAAAAATATTATCCGCAATCATGAATTTCTCACCTTTAGGGCTTGAACAATAGTATAACTATGTAAATTCATATCTTTATTTTTATGCATAATATGAATAATGTGTAAATTTGTTATGAGTATTGTATTCTATAGTTATGAACAATTAATATTTCTATATTGTATGAACAACGTGTAAATTTGTTATGAACATTGTATCCTATGGTTATGAACAATAATTATTTCTTTTTTAGTATCAACAATGTATAAGTTTATTATGAACATTATAACTTATGGTTATGAACCTTGAATATTTATAAGATAATATTTGAAATTTGTGTTCTTTTGAATGGTGAACATTACGCAAAATCATCATGGATTAAGGTTAAGATGAGTATGAGTATGATATCACTATATAAATAATGAAATTGTATAAATATTAGAATGAAAATCCAGTAATAAAATAATGAACTTTGTTTACAAAAAGAATGAATTATGATTAGATATTAAAAAATTCAATTAGATTATATGAATAAACATGGAGAGATATTTTATTTTTATTTAAAAAATAGAGGAGACAGGGTTTTATTATGAATCTGATTCCTATTAAAATTTGAATATACACTATTTTTATTTTGAACAAATTAAATCCTACTTTGTAGAGAATATTAAGACCATATTGTAGATTTGAGTATTTCCATAATTAATAAATAAAATAATTAATTATATCAATCAGAAAGTTTCTATAATTAATAAATAAAATAATTAATTATATCAACCAGAAAGAAGAGTGCGTGTTTACACATGACAAGTGCACTAAATATGGTAAACACCATTCACCATATAATAACTCAAAATTACATGGTCTAATTGTAAATTTTTTACTTTAACTGTCCAATTAAAGTTTATCCAATAATGTAATTATGAGGTGAGAAACACAATAACAATTCCTTATTAATTGTTGACTGGGAAAGTTAATTTAGTGAATATTGCTATCCTTTTTTTGGTTAACTTAATATTCTTTTTTAAACAATTTCCAAGACAAAATTAAAGTATACTCCCTCCTGTCCTTATTATAAAGCATTTTGATTTATACTAAACTAGGTTCTAAACTTGTGCGGCAGATTTTTTCAATCGATATCTTTTCTTCGCTTTAAATTAATTTAAATTAGAGAAAAATGAAGGTACGTATCATGTTACTTTGTCATATCAATGTAACTTTATTATTATACAAAAAATTATAGAAGAATACGTACATCAAATTTGTTTATATAAATTATAGTTGAGACTAATTATAAAAGGTATTGGAAAAAAAAAGATGTCCATAAAAGAATTAACTAAGTTATAGTTTACCTTTCAAGAAAATGTACTCTGAAATAAGTTAATAGTTTACAATTTTTTAGTCTAAGCCGATTATCATTTTTACCAACCAAAGTTATGTGAGAAATAAACGACATCTATCACAAAAGATAAATCAACTTATGCACACATAGTAATTTTTCTTTAAAAGAAATCCTTACATTAAGATGCATGTGTCACATATAAAATGATGAGTTAATTGTAATAAGCAATAAAAAAAATCAACTTAATAATATGAAATACCGAAATTGTTTATTGTCTTACTCTCATGTCTCCTTGTGCTTTTTTGTTGAACTGTTCAAATTTGTAGTGACTCGTTTTCACCTGTTGTTGATGTTGCTGCAAGGACAACATTGCATCAAGGTTGATGTTACCAAAATTTGGATAAAAGAAATCAATTGAGAAATTTGGAGATGTTTTGATTTATTTAAGAAGTTTATTTTTGGGATAGAATGGTGATTTAGTAAAAAATATAACTGCTAAATCATGGATAAATTTATAAAGATTAAATATAGTTATACTTCCTCTGTCCCAAAATTATTGTCCAGTTTGAAATATTATTTTTAGTACAATTTGAACTAAAAATAAAAGCCCAAACTGGACAATAATTATAGGACGGAGGGAGTACCTTTTTTTGGGAACTCTTAACCCGGAATCTCTGTGTGTGTGTATTTTTAGCAATTTTTCTTTCTGGATAAATTAATTAGGATTCTCTGTGTGTGTGTGTGTGTGTTTTCCGTTATTTTTGGCTTTTTTTTTTTGAGTTTGGGTAGGGAGACCAATATAACATTTGGAATTTTGGGCAAAAACTTGGTTTTTGTTATAATGGGGGTTATTATAGGTTATAAATTTCACCCAATATATTTTTTTGATTTGAAAAAAAACCTTAAAAATACATTTCCATGTTCACTCTATCCTCTTAATTATTAAAAAATAATTTTAAGATTTTTTTTCAATTAAAAAAAAACATACTAGATGAAACATAAAATAAATCAAAATACCTTATTTACTTATTTGATTAAGGGAGTCAAATCTGATCATAAAGTGCAATAGCTAGAGTAGAGTTTCTCAACGAAAGGGAGAAAAAAAAAAAAAAAGAAGCCCAAAACCAACTTAAAAAAATAAATTAATTAATTAAAATGTCGCCAATTTTATGAAACCATCAATGTAAAGCCAAAACTAAGACTTGGGATAAATGAAAGAGAGAATCATTCTCAAGTTCACGCACCTGATATTACAAATTTCCAACATTTTTTGTTTTTTTTGGGGGGTAGATAAATTTACAACATTGGGAAGCAAGCGAAGATAAAATTACATTTATTGGTTCAATCAATCAATCATATTCTCCCCTTTCAATTTGGATGGTGACATGACTAATATTATACTCTGTGTTGATGTAGCCAATAACCTTGTCCAGCACCAAATCGGGATCGGAATCCGGCGTAATCTTAACATGGCAAGCCAACAACACTTTCCCAACAGTAATTGCCCAAATGTGGAGTTCATGGATAGCTACAACCTCCTCCATCTGGCAGAGGCCATTTTTAAGCGTGGTCGCATCAATTTCCCTCGGGGTGCTCTCCATCAGAACTTCAAGAATGTTCCTCAGCATGTTAATAGTTGTGCCCAATACGATTAGAGAGAAAACAAGGGTGCAAATCAAGTCCACAAATTTCCACTCGGGTTTGTACCATATAATGGCTCCACCTATCATCACCCCAATACTCTGGATGGAATCACCAATCACATGTAGGTAAGCGCCTTCAACATTTATGTTAAATCGCTTCTTTCTCTTTGCAACAATCCCTCCTGATTTTTGTTGTTGTTGTTGGAGCAGAGGTTCACTATGATCATGATCATGATGATGATCCTCATGACCATGGCTATGATGATGATGATGACCATGATCATGGCCTAACACCAGAGCCATGATGATGTTGACAAGTAAGCCAAAAGCAGAGACCAAGAACATAAGGAATCCCGCAACTTCCCCTGTTCCATGTAGAAGTCTTGAAATGGCTTCATAAACCAGGATCCCAGCAAGAAGCCAGATGATTTGGATGGACACCAAGGCACCCAGTATTTCGATCCTGAAAAACCCATATGATTGGCGGGGGTTGGCTTCCCAACCTGATGCCCAAACAGAGAACAATGATATTCCAAAAGCAGCCACATCTGAGAGCAGATGAGCAGCGTCGGTCATAATCGCTAGGCTGTTGGCTTTGATCCCACCAACAATCTCAACAGCCATAAAGACGATGCATAAAACAATTCCAACCCAAAGCTTCTTCATCGACACTGAACGCTCTGAAGAACTTCCCTTCTTTCCATCAGAAAATCCACAAGGACTCCCTTCACAAACTTTACTACTTCCACCACCGCCTTTCTGAGCAAGAGCCCTGTCATCATCATCAACCTCAATGACATGAGCAGGCTCTGAAACTCGACCCTCCATCTCTGGGTTTCGTTTCTCTGCAGTATAACAATGAACAGGGTCCAAACTACAAAGTTCCCAAAATGGAAGAAATTTTGTTCAAAAACTTTGTGGGGGATTTTGACAATTGGCTAGTCTTAGGCTCCAATCGAATGAATAAACTGAACAAGCTAGGTTCACGCGGTTAGTGAAGCCAAAGCTCGAATTCGGTTGGATTCATTCAACTCGAGAACAGAACACGAATCCATGGGCGAAGTTTGCAAAATCCTTACTGTCCGATCGGCTACACTTCTCGAACTAGTTTTGCCTACTTGAATAATTGAGACAATAAACATATATAGATTGAAGGAAATGGTGAGTAGGTTAATTTGAGGCAGGTATATACTGTTGACAAATGAATTTTATGTTTGTCAAATGCATCTTTTTCTTTTCACAAATTTTATGGTGCTCTTCATGCCGCTGTTGAACTAGATCTATGGTGTTTTTCATGCCGTTGTAGTCATATTTTATGCTTATTATCAGATGGATCTTTTTGTTCTCTTGAAATTTTAATTTACCCAAAAAATAAAAATAAAAATGGTTCAATAGGTTGCAAGTTCCTCTGCAAAATCAGATGTGATTTTTGTCCCCCTCTCGAAACACTTTTTTAATATAATCTTTCTAATCTAATCGTTGTGATTAATCTAATTACTCTAATGTTTATTAACGTATGATTAAATCATTCAATTAATTGGACCATAATCATTCCTTTATAAAATTTATGGTTCGTAACATCTATACGATGAATGAATATGAATATAATAAATTTGATTATGACTAGATAGATTGGGATAGTGAGTCATAGCAAACACAACTATATCATTCATCTTGGCTGGAAGCTGTGGTTTTTCTTTTCCTGTTTGTAAAAATACAATTGACTAAATGTAATGCAATTTACTGTCAGGGGAAAAAAAAAAATAAAAAGGAGAAGAGTAAAAGTAAATTGACAATAATATAAACTGAATTTAAATTTAAGAATGATGCCGACTGGTAAGTAAATTAACAATGTCAATGACATAATCTTTAGTACGGTACGTAAATTCTACAAAAATGACCGAATTTTGAATCACTTAAGTACCGACTCCAGCTATATTTTCCACTCAATTTGGTTCAGTGGACATTTAAAAGTTTATAATTTTCCTTTCTTATCCCATATAAAATTAAGAACGGGTTTATTTTAATAGAGAAAATTAGTCCCTTTGATCCTAATCATAAAACATAAATTAATACTAAAATTAATTTAAATTTAGACTTGATAATTAAAACTGAAACAAATATTATGATTAAGACTGGACGTGGATTTACTCATCTCTGATAAAGTTTCCGATATTATCAAAAAAAAAAACTATTTTTTTTGTCCCAAAATTATTGTCCAATTTAAAATTTTACTTTTAGTATTACAATTTAAACTAAAATGAAAATCATAATAATTTTAAGACAACTAGTCGACCAGTCGACCACAATCTTATATGCGCTGTTATCAACCCATTGCGGCTGGCTTACATGAATTGAACTTTCTATAGCTTCTCTGGTCGTTTTATCTTGATTTGCTACGAGTTTGCAATACGATGATGATCAATATGGCGTGGAAATAAACTAACTTGGAGAGTTGGATTGATTTGTACACTTAACGGGTTCATTTCGTTTATATTTAGTTGACAAAATTGATTTATTCTCTTCGTCATAAAATAAATAGTTCACTATATAATTTATAAATTATATTAAAATACAAATTATAAGTTATAGTAGTATTTTTTTATTCGAAAGAGTACTTGATATTAAATTTTTAATTGTTACTCCCTCCGTCCCATAATTATTGTCCAGTTTGAATTTTTATTTTTAGTTCAAATTGTAATAAAAGTGAAATCTTAAACTGGACAAGAATTTTGGGACAGAGGGAGTACTATTTATCGTTCCATTTTAATAATTTGCTTTATTATATTTGTTTTGATTTATATAACGTGTATGTTGAAATAGGAGGGAGGGAATCCACTATAATTATTCTTTTTTATATGGAAAGAGGGAAACATGCTATTTTTTCATATATAAGAGTTTGGCATATTGTGTAATTTTGTTCTCTCTCTAAGCTATAGAATTTTCTTTTTTTTTTCCCCTTTTATTTTGTTTTTTTGTTTCTATTTGGACAAAAACAAAACATCAACCATCGAACAAGGTCGACATCTAAGAAAATATACTTTTCTCTATTAAAATTGAGATCGACATCTGATCTACCTCGTGGTAGGAAAAAAATGATGTTAAAGATTGATACAGAGAACTATATGAAGGGGAAGACGCCATTTAGGCATTAGTTTGATTCTACTTCGTGGGCGGTTTCCCCATTTTTTTTAGCCGATTTTCAAATTAGTAGTTGAAAATTGAGTTTTTATCATATAAGAGCCATATTTTAATTCAATGTTTTTATTTAATACGGTGGAATTGTTATTTTTGGATAAAATTGAAAGTTTTTTTTTCGCTATATGAAAATCTCAACAATAATCTTTAATAATTATAACATTATATTTGGGATAAAATACTCCCACAATCTCGTGGCTATGACTTGAGATGTTGTCTCGTAATCATTGTCTATTGTTTTGGTATCCGAAAAAATTTACTTTGCAATATCGTTTTCGGCTATTAAACATTACCCATTTTTCAAAATGATTATAACATTTACTGTATTATTTATTGTATTAAAATAATACAAAAACTGAATAGTAGTAATTTTGAAATACTAATACTCAATGATAGAAGTTAATATTCTTATTTCATTCTAATTAAAAATAGAACACAAAACAATAACTTGGTAACAAAAAGTGCACAACTCCACCCTAAATTACATACTAGTAAAAAATATACTTCCTCTGTCCTAAAATTATTGTCCAGTTTGAGATTTCACTTTTAGTACAATTTGAAATAAAAATAAAAACTCAAACTGGACAATAATTATGGCACGGAAAGAGTACTAGTAAACCAATATATATATATATATATATATATATATTAATCTCTAGTAAATATTTTAAATCATCAAACTCATGGTTTACAATTTCAATATTCTTAAACACTCAAATCACATAATTAGATAATCTGTTGATACTGTTCCATAAACTACCACATTCCCACATGTACCAAAATCCTCAGTCCATTGTCATCATGATGACAAGAGTTCCCTTTGCCTTTGGTCTTGGTGTCGGACCATTTTGTGTAACCCTTCAATAAAAATGTTTTTTTTTTTAATCAAATATCTACATATGTATTGTCAGGGACGGACCTAGGGGAGCAAGGAGTTCATCTACCATGCGGTCAGCAAATTTTTTCAAAAAATACCTCAGATTTTTTATAAATTTTTTGGGAAAAAGAAATTTTAGTTATGTTCGAACCTGTAAATATTCAGAATTGGTTTTGTCACTGTGTATTGTTAAACATTTTATATTACGTATCTAATGTTCGTAATCATAATTTTAATTAATCCGGATGTGAAGTGAAACAACATAACAAAAGATTTACAATCATTTAGCAATAATAGGATGGGTGCACAACTATTTGGATTTTGGATTATATAAAGGACCTGGATTGCGGGAACCGGGAATCGGGGTAACCCAACAAACAGTGTCCCACTTTACAACCCGGAAATCCGATGAGGACGCAAGTGTATGAAAATGATTCGAACCGCATCAACCCAGATCATTCGTATTAGTACCACTAACTCACCATCAACATCACCAGACCAAAATTACACGTCACCTTTCAGACAGCCACACCTCCACGTCGCTGTCTCGCCGGAATCCCTTCCTTACCGCCACCCAATTTCATTTCCCGGTCGCCGGTGATTATTACTGGGAACCTCCTCCGCACTATTATATTCCGAAAAAAGAGTAAATTAATAGTAATACCCCCGAAGAAAAAGGGGAGAAAAGAAAAGGAACCATTTCGTATCTGTTAATTAAAAAACAAAGAACTGTCACACGGTGCCACCTTCTTGTTTCCTGTTCCGTTCCCCTCCTCTTTCGCGTCTTCCCAAATCCAACTCTGTAGTACAGATACAGAGTTTTTTTTTTTTTTTTTTTTTGAGTTTCGAGGACTTGAATCGTTGTTTTCCTACATCTATTTCAGCTCAAAATAAAAGGCCAAAAGAGAGGGACGCCCAAGGAGGAATAACTGAGCGAGCAAGAATTTCGATTGCAGCTTCGAAAGGGATTGGAGCTAATTAGTTTGAATGGCGGTGGAGTACACATGTTGCGAGACGGAGTTCTTCATACACATTCTGATCATAATGGGGTTGGTTTTGTTTGCCGGAATGATGTCTGGCCTCACCTTGGGTCTTATGTCCCTCAGTCTTGTTGATCTTGAGGTGCTTGCCAAGTCCGGCACTCCCAAGGACAAGAAGCATGCCGGTAAGATGGTGTTCTTTTCTTGGTTTTTCTTTATGCGGTTTTCCTCATTTGTGTTTAACTGCGTAGCTATTTTTGAGAGGCGTTGGATGGTGTTGTTCATTAATTTTCCGATACCCGAGCTTAATTAGTTTACCTTATAGTTCATGTGAATGTTTGATTATTGGTCCCCGAGAATTGCGAGTTTTCTCTTGTTTTAGCATTTTAAGATATGGCCTACGTTTTCCATATGTGGAAGGGAGGTTTGAAGAGGTTACAGAATGATTTGAAATTCTTGTATGAGGCTACCTACAATTCAGCCTTAATGTTTCCTGTTTTTAGAAGGATGGCGTTAGGTCAGCTCCTTTAGCTTTGTTAGTATGAGGAGAGGATTTTTTTTTGTCCTGTGAAATGCTGAAGTAGATATATTCTATGTTTCTTCTGAAATTTTAATATACATCAGTAAACCTTGCCAAAATGGAAGGAGTATTGGGATGGTTTAGGTCATGAATCTCATTTAAGGCTTAAGCGTATGATGGAGTTCTGGAACTGCAACTGAAGTTTAAGGGATAACTAGAATGGTCGATCAGTTTCTGTATAATCCCCTAAGCTTGCAACATGACATTATGTATAGAGTTCTCTGTTTAAGGTTGTCTGTTGAAATTTAAGTGTCCTCTGTTGTTGATTGATTTCTGGAAACTGTTTGAGCATGACTGGTGATTCTAGGTTTTGTCCCTTTCTTTCTTAACAGAAAAGATATTGCCAGTTGTAAAAAATCAACACCTGTTGCTTGTTACCTTGCTCATTTGCAATGCTGCAGCCATGGAGGTAAGCAGAATGGCATCTGATCTCCAAGCAAATCTTTTGGATTAGACAATTAGTTTTGTGATGATGAAGAAAGACTTTTGTTCTGTTTCCCTCTTCTTCTTCAGGCACTTCCCATTTTCCTTGATGCCCTAATTACAGCTTATGGTGCTATCCTGATATCAGTGACATTGATTCTTCTGTTTGGTGAGGTGAGGTCTTTAACAGTTCAAAAGGCGTTGCTCCCAATCTTAGAAAGCTGCAAATTGGCACTTCAGCATCTTACAATGTTCTTTGATATGCATGAACAGATTATTCCTCAAGCGGTCTGCACTAGATATGGATTGGCTATTGGTGCAACTGTTACCCCCTTTGTTCGTGTCCTTGTTTGGATCTGCTTTCCGATCGCTTATCCAATAAGCAAGGTCTGCTTGTTCTTCACATCAATTGTCACCAATATTCTTTCAAATGTTGAGTTCATTAGTTTTAGAGGATGATATCTGAACACACATTTTACAATGAATCTGCAGCTTTTAGACCTTCTGTTAGGGCATGAACATAGAGCTCTTTTCCGCCGAGCCGAGTTGAAAACCCTAGTTGATTTACATGGTAACGAGGTATGACTTCATGTTGTTTTATGCTTTTCACTTGTTCAGTTTATGCCTTTTGCGTATCTCTTTCTTTATGTCTTGCTTTTGCTTCGTGTCTTGAAAGTTTAGATATTTACCTGATTTAAGTGCTAGTTCCATGGCTGAATTCTTTATTCCTTGATATATCATTGTGCAGGCTGGTAAAGGTGGAGAACTTACACATGATGAAACTACAATTATAGCTGGAGCCCTTGAGCTGAGTGAGAAAACAGCTGGTGATGCAATGACTCCTATTTCAGAAATTTTTGCTATTGATATTAATGCAAAGCTTGATAGGTAAATTTACTCAGGAATTGCCTACTACTTGGAGCACTTTGGAATCACAATAAAGTCTGTCTAATGTTTGTCTACGTCTGCTTTTGAGCAGATCTGTAATGAATTCAATTTTGGAGAAGGGGCATAGCAGGATACCAGTTTACTATGAGCATTTGACAAACATAATTGGTGTTATTCTGGTATTTTGGTGATCTTTTGTTTCCTCACTTCGAGAAGAGACTAACAGTTCCTGCTTACATCGTCTTCTATTGTGCTGAGAAATACTATGGCACTGTATCAGTTGATTTGATTTTTGTAGGACTTAGTCCATGCAGCAGTGTAGTATTGCATCTTTACTTTTTTCTTTTTATATAATCTGTTTCTGTGTATAACTTTTGTTGTTTTGATCTGTTCCTAATGTTGAATTCTTTTGGGATTCAGGTTAAGAACTTGTTAACCATCCCTCCAGAAGATGAAGTCCCTGTGAAGAGTGTGACCATTCGGAAAATTCCAAGGTACTCTATGCATCCATGGATTAGTATTATTATTTAACTAGTATATCCTTCCGTTTGGCTTGCATTTGTCAATGAGGGATAGTTTTCAAAGACTCCATTTTGGCTGGACAGGTTCTGGTGTGGGTTTCTGCATTTAACTATATTTTTGAAACAGATCCTAATTATACTTATCATTCACACTTCAGGGTTGCAGAAACAATGCCATTGTATGATATCTTGAATGAGTTTCAGAAAGGTCATAGTCACATGGCTGTTGTTGTTCGACGTAGCAACAACCTCAGTGAGGAGCAATCTGCTAGCAAGATTGATGGGGAAAGTAAGCTTTTCTCTACTTCTTTGGCCTATATCCAATGGAACCTTTTTGCTAATCTTTTTTCCCTCCTTGTCCCATAATTGATGTGTAGACAAAGTAAAGGAAGTGCAGATAGACGTTGATGGCCAAAAGACTCCTTTGGAAAAGACACTGAAGACGAAGAGATCGCTGCAAAAGTGGAAAAGTTTTCCTAATGGTGGAAGTGGTTCTTTTAGAAGCAGCAGAAGCCGAAAGTGGACAAAGGAAATGTATCCTGACATCCTTCAGATAGATGGCAACCCGCTTCCAAAACTCCCAGAAGAAGAAGAGGCAGTTGGGTTGATTACATTGGAAGACGTTATTGAAGAACTATTGCAGGTAGAGGCAAAATAATCCCTCACTAGTAATACAGGTCTCATATGGTTATTAACTTATCAAGTGCCTATTTAATACAAAATATCTTTGTGCAGGAGGAGATTTTTGATGAGACGGATCACCATTTTGAAGACTCGTGACGATGGTTTTCTTTGTCACACCTGCTTTTATTCGAACACAGAAGGCGTTGAAACTCACTTTTGCATACAAGAGTTTTTGAGCTGTTATGAATTTGGTACAGGTAACCTGTCCAATATTATGCTGATAGGTGTAGCTGGCATATTAGTGATGAAACTGTAAATGAGATGATGCAGCAGCAGAAGCTCCTGACCGCCATATTCCTAGTCCAATTTGGCTCAATTTGTTTTGTGTTTCTTTGTTCCAAGCTGAAAAGGCCTACTAATATGGTAGTCAGTTGGGTGACTAGAGGATGTTTTGATGATGCCACACTACTGTTCGGTTCTTTAATTGTTTGTATATCTCGAGTCGTAGTGTGATTTGATGTGTGGTAATGATGGTTTTAAGACCCTATAGAGAGCAAAATATCTGCCTATGTATGTCCCTGGGAGTAGCTTTGCATACATAAAGATGTTAATAGTAAAGGTAGCTTCGAAGTAAAATATAACAAAACATCTCACATACGAATGTTAAAATGCTCGTGCAATCCACTTAAGATCATATATCCCCGTAAAGGAGTAATCCTTCAATTTGACAGAAGGCATTAAAAGGTAAAATAAAGCCCAGCTAAGGAAGCTGACATGATGTTTCAATGCTTGTGAGTTGTCTTGCTACCTCGATCATGTTTGGCCTATCTTCTCCTTTCTGTTGGGTACATTTCAAAGCGAGTTCTGCAACATTTTTCAGTTGATCTTCAATTTTTCCATCTCTTTCTAGCAGATTGACAGGGTCTAGTACTATATCCAGTTCAGTATTGTCTATTGCATCTTGCATATAATCAACCAAATCAAGCCATTTATCATCTTGATTAAAGAAGTCCCTTTTACCTGTTAAGAGGACGAGCAGAAGTCTCCCAAACATGTATACATCCGTCTTCTCTGTGATCGTACCAGTCATAGCGTATTCGGGTGCTAAGTGTCCTGTATACCCGACGATGGTGTCCACCACAAATTGTGTTTCTCCGGGAGGCAGTTGCACGCATAATGAAAAATCAAACAACTTGGCAGCACCAAACTGATCAACGACAATGTTCTTTGTGCACATATTTGTGTGAATGATAGGACTCAGAAAAGCAGTATGCAGATAAACGATTGCATTCGACACACCACTGGCAACTCTTAACCTATTTTTCCAGGGAAACGAAGCTGCATCTTTCCAAGGATCTGTCTCCTTCCTGTAAAATAGAATGTCGTCAAGAAGCCGATGCTTCCCAGTGTAGTCGTACACAAGGACTGGTTCTTTGAAATCCAAACAACATCCCAAGAACCTCATAACATTTTGGTGGCGACTCATCAGCAATGATACTACTATGTCGCGGTTGACAAATGAATAAAATCTTAAGAATGTCTTAACTAAAATCATGCGGTCCTGAAAAGAACCGCGGAACATGCGACCAGTTCCATCGTACATCACAACCTCCCGGAAATCACTTGTTGCAGCAATGATCTCTTTGGCTTTGAAGTTGCGGAAAGGAGTATCATATTTAATATTAGTAGCAGATGCAAGGCCTTCGAATGTAAAGCTTCCATTTTCCAAAAACGTTGTCGAAACTTCCCTTGGTTTGCAAGTTCCTTCCAACAACCAAAGCTTTATTCTCTGGATTCCACGAGCCAAACAATCCATTGACCAACTCTACAAAGGGAATTGCCAGAAGAATCACTGTGAGATTTAGCTTCAAAAGTAAGGGAAAGACCGGGATCAATGGATCATGAAGTTTTTTCTTACTTTCCTAAAGACTAGGTCTGTTGACCGTTGATCGAACAAGCAACCTAACGCTTACATCTAAATCCCGGATATTACTTGTGATGAAACATTTGTTGGTTGCTTCAAGCCTTCAACTCTGTGATTCTATGAAAATAAAGAAACTAATCCTAGTTTCTCCAAAGAAAAACTAATTTTCACAGGGAAGAATAGGCAGAGGACTTACCTGTCGATTTACAACCAGAGAGACAAAAGAATGCTTCTCCTGGATCTTCTTTTCCTCTCATCACCGAACAGTAAAGAACCCTGTAATTTTTTGGTGCAGAACTTATGTTTTCTTTCTCATTTAATGAACATGTGCGCGTGGACTTGGACTGTGGAAGTTTTGATCCATGCGTTGACGTAGAAGAAGACGTCTAAGTCCTTCATGCACTTATGGCCATTGCATTTCAGTTTCCCTTACCATATAGTCAACGCTTCCTCTAAACTGGGTGTGTTCTTTTTGTAGTAATGGGAATGGAGGTAATGGGAATTTGACTCCGTTTCCTATTATCTCTGTGTGTTTTGTAGCGGATAAGGGATTAACTTTCTGGTGTAATCAGATAACCTACCTGCAAGTAATCCAAATTCCATCCAATTACTTTAGTTTTTTATTCAATCTCAAATATGGAAAAACAAATTAAACGGGCGCTTTATTTTAAACGCGTCCAAATTTTGTGCGGGAGAAATTTGATTCTCTTTAAATACAATTTCTCCAATTAATTCATCAACTCACTTTTCTTGTTCTCACAAAATTTAGAACAAAAATAAAAAATACAAGGTATTTTTTGCCATTTATGATTTTTTTTTTTTGTTTTTGTTTTTTCCAATGCCCGAGAGAGAAAAGTTGGAAGAAGACTCCAGGATTCCGTTGCAACTATTACCGATCATGTCAAGACTCAAGATATATATATATATATATATATATTTTTTTTTTTTTTCATTTTACAAATGCTCAATAATAAATGGAGTCTAGAACTTTTCTTGAACCATATTTTACTTAATTTGTAGAGGATTATTTGATATGATTTTTTTATATTTATTTTAAGTAGAGACGTTGATATGATAATGCAAATTATTTCATTAATTATAATTTGGCAAAACTTACCTTTTTTTTCTTATAATTTATTTAAAATTTTTATTTTTACGTTGATACTTATGTAAAAAAGAAACGTATCAATCGTTAAGTAATGCCTATTTCAATGCATATTTGGAACATGTCAAATGTAATGAAAGATTCCTTTAATGAATGTAAGTTTTTCTACTAGAAATGAGATTCCGTTTCCCTGATTCCCTTTTCGCACAAAAGAACGTAGCTTAGTGACATGGGTTGGGGCGTAAAGAAATTTTACAGGGATAAATCTCTGCCTGCAGTAGATTTGTGCCGGGTTTGCCTGCAGAATTGCCCCCGAAATAAAACAATCTTTCAGGCCTGTAGAATCCCTAAAAGAGCATCAAAATAAAAAATAAAAAAAATTGCTTGGTAGGATTCCTCTGTTTCACCTTGATTTGGTGCCAAACCATTCGTATTCTCCAAGACTCTGTTTCTGTTAAAATAATTTTGTATTTAGAAGAAAATTTTCTTCAGTTACCGCTGCCATCGACAAGATAGCAAAAAATATACTTATGTTTTTAGCATAAAGTATAAAGGAGACCAAGACAGCCAAAGAATACTCTGTTTTTATACATTTCAAATTGTCTAGCAGATAAGCTACAATTTTGGTACATTTTAGCGGTAGAATTCTATTCTACATTAACATTGATGAAAACAGATGCTGATACACACAATTCAGATATTATACATTTTTACTAGCGATGTTTACGACTCTTCTCTTTACTCTTCTTCTTCTTTTTCTTCTCCTTATCCCTTGATTTCTCTTTTGATTTGTGCTTTCGCGAGCATGGCTTCCTTGACCTTGGACTTGCGGTCTTCCTATGATCTAGAGAAGACTCATCTTCTGATGCATCAGAGCGCCAAAATGACGAAGGCTTTTCAGGGCCAAGAACTACACGTTTTTCTGGCCCTTCCCTGCGGTCGACATCAAGGGATGTTAATTGCTTTCCCTTAGCATCAGGATTAGAAGGAAGGTAAGGGCCAGTTTCATCCATTCGTGAACCAACAGCACCTCTTCCTCGCTTGATCCTGCCATTGAAAACTAGTTTAGCTTCTGCACTTTCATATGCATATCAAACAAGATTTATGATGTAGAACAGATACAAAGATAAACTACCTTGATTGAAGAAATTTTTCAACTTCATCATCCCTCAACCCTTCGTCATCCCTCTTTCTTGATGAGCATGAAGGACTCGCACTCACATCCGTCTCATCAATATCAGAATGCCTCTTACTTCTATTCCCCGAGTCCCTCTTGCTCCTGTAACTCTCACCGTATTTACTCTTATCACTTAATTCTCCTCTAAGCCGATTATCAAGGTCCAGCTCCTTCTGTCTGGCTCGCCACATTTCATTTTCCTCAACAGCTCGATTCGCTACATTAACAAATTAAATAGACTCATTAAGCATACGTGAAGGAGACTTTGACATTATTCCTTAAAAAAAGTCCAAGCATGAAACTAGTTTACCACAAATAGGATATTTGACTGCTGAGAGGGAAAAGGAGGAAAATAGAGATAAAGCTCATTGTATTACATCAGATAATGAAACAACATCTCCGATTACAACAAATTTTGCCTTGAGTTATATTTCTTCCATATGATTTCACATTAACACAGTATCAGAAAGACTACACCTAAGAATCAACAAATCATGCTATTAGAAACTTCAATGTATACTCATGATAGCATATGGGCAGTTAAAGTTTCTAATAGCATGATTAGTTCATGCTGAGGTTTTTTTGTCATACCGCAGAACCTTCAACATAGTCTCCAAGAAAGAAAATAGAAAATCCAGCAAGTAAAGATAAAATAGCCATGAAAGGGCTTGGCACGACAGAATTCCCCACTGCAAAGTAAACCATTATTCTAGGCCGAAAAACAACATATCAAGCCCCAAAATCCACGACCCATGAGACATTCAGAAATAGAAAAAAAAAACTAATCACAAAAAGCATTGAAAACAACAGATGCCAAACTACAAAAGGAAAAATTTAATCCACAAATCAACTAAAGGACAGACCTTGTTGCACACCAAGAACAGTTGCGGTCAGGAATCTAGAATTTGGGCGACCTCTGAATTTTGGTTGCCGCAGATAAACCCCAACACCCTCCTCCTCTGCTCGCCGCCGCAGCTCTGCAGCCTCTTTCATTAGGATCTGAGCTATTCTGTTCTCTGTTTCCAGGTCCATCCTTCCTCAATTTTATTAAGCACCAGCCAGACCAAAAATCAATCTGAAAATTAAAAAATAAAAATAAAATCAAATTCTCATATTCTCCAAGTATAACGACAGACAGATACAAAAAGCAGATACAGATCAAGAATAGAAAGTACCTGAATTCAATCGAATTTTCTGCAAATAAATCGAAACAAAAACAATATTGAAACTCGGAATACTCACAGATATAAAAAACCCTAATTAGCTATCTGATTATTTTCTTTTGTTTTGCGAATAACGCAAAGGCCGATTTTCCATTAGCGTCGGCCATTTGAAACGTAGTGTTTATGGGCTTTAAACATTATTTTGAAAGTGTATGGACTGCATTATATATTTAGCCCAAGCATCTATCAGTAGCATTAGGACCAGGCCCAAATCAGGTTGTGTTCCGTATAGGAATAGTGGGAGACATAAATATTGTTTTTTATTTTTCCGTAATGTTTTTTGTTAAAAAAAATAAAAAATTCTTTGTTACTAATAGGTAATATATTCTTACCCTTATTTGATTCACTGGAAAAAAAAAACCTCCATCACAACCAAAATAATTTTCCAATTTCAATTATTATTTTTAGTACAGACTATATAAAAAGTGAAAATTCAAACTGAACAATCATTTTTCAAGATGATATATACTAACAAGAAAAGTAGAAAACTGTCTTACAAATGGTCGAAGATTAACAAGGTTTGTATAATGGCATTCTAAGGGATCATTTTAAAACTCAAAAGTTTAAATTTTAATAATTATTTTATATTCTCCTCGTTTTAGAAAAATAGTTCACTTTCATCATAATACTTTAGTTTAATACTAGTCATTAAGTTGTCACTTGCGACATAAAGGCACCCAAGTTAGTTGAAATTGAGCCCTCAAAATTTCAGAACCTCCAATAGCTACTTTAGGAGTTTTACGTCAATGTCTGTCCTTGCAGTTATTTGGTTCATGAACCTTTGTGTTATTACAATAACAAAGAACTGGTTTTTTGATCATATATGTTCCAACTTCCAATCAAAGACAGCTAGCCTCATATATTTCTTTATCTCGAAGTCACAACTCAAAAATACTAGGTATCAGTGATTGCCTTTGATCGGAAGAAATTAAGTTGTATATATGGTACAGGTTGCAATGGGAATGAACCCCAACAAATGTCAAAAAATTTCGAAGATAGCTACAAAGCACGATTTACGGTAGTACATATATATCTTGAATCTTTTTTTTCCCCCCCCTCCTTTTGAAGAACTGTGACATGCATGGATGCTCTTTTATTCTGAAGCTAGACTAGTCGGTAAATCAGTGTTTTACATGAGGAGCTCTGTAGTAAGCCGGAATAGTAGCTGGGAAGAACATTTGCCGAACTCCTTCAGCCCGGATTATCGGAAATATGATTCCTGATGCGCCCTGAAATACGTAAGACAACGAGATTAACGTAGGTCAGATTGAGTTTATATAATGAAGTGAAAACAGCAAGCAGAATTACAAAAGCAGTGTCGATAAAGGGTTTTTACCGAAAGCAATCTGGCTCCCAACCACATTTTCTTAGGTGAAGGAAACGGGATCATCAAGCGGCCAACACCATAAACAGCGACAGCAAAGAAATGGAGAACTAAACTCATTGGTTTTGGGTTTAGACCGGAGAGTAAAGCCACCGGTCCAGTTGAGCAAATGCCTCCAAGACTAAGATAGTCAAAACATGCTTGCCGCATTTCGTTCCTAGCCGGGTCTGGGGATGCACAAAATACTTTGTATAGGGCGCCCGCCAGTGTGTTAATTGTTGATGCTACTGGCTGCAAAAATTAGGCCAAAGATCAATCAACTCTTATACTTAATTTCTTTGAAAGCAATTTTGTTGTCACATCTTATTAACTTTTATTAGCCAACTAAGGTGACAAGATGTTATGTCCATCTGGTGCGTACCACATTAGATGGTACCCTGTATAACTAGATAAGGGAATACATTTCACAAAGAAATGAAGATTTCATAAGATTCAGGAAGCCGTCGTTATATGAAATAATTACTCGGCCAAAATTGGTGGCAAAAAAAGAAGACGCTAACCTTACGAAGGGTGTAGAAGGACTCGAGATACTCGCAAAGGACGGAAGGATTGTGCAAGTCATGCAAAGGTCTCAGAAGATCCCTAAGAACTACAATGTCAGAAAGGGCAACAGTCATTCCACCTCCGGTCAGCGGATGGCGCATGTTGAATGCATCACCTAGCAAAATAGCACCCGGAGTGGGATGAGGATTGGCTGGCATGCTTCTGTTAGGCATTGTTCTGATCTTCCCCTTATCAATTGCTGCTATGAAAGCATCATATAGCTGTGGAGGAACCTGAGGAGCCACCACTGTCTTCAAATAATTTGCCATTTCTCCATTGTAAATGGATGGCAACTTTTGCCCCGGAACATCAACTAAACAGCGAGTCTCTGTGCTGCTTATTTGATAGAACAAGATGGGTGAAGGGTCGGCAAGAACCACATGTCCATGGTTCTGGAATGGAAGCTGACAATTTTCCAGGATCAAACCAACAAAACAAGATGGGACATCCACCTGGGGAATATGACACGAGGATTCAATGTGGTTCAGTCAAAACTTAAAACTACACCCATCATCAGGGACTGATGATCAAAATTTACAGCAATATTGATAGATCTATAGAATTTTAGATGAATTTAAGCGACGGACTAACTCACAGAAAGGTATTTTTAACTTGACTAGCTAGTTGGAGAAATTCACCTTGGGGTCACAGAGAGAACGCCGCAAGTTTGAAAAGCATCCATCACAAACAACTGTAAGTGGAGCATAAGCAGTCAATTCCTGGCCATTCTTAGTCTTGTATTGGACACCTTTGACAACTCCGTTTTCTTCAATCAAAGATGTAACCGTACCCTGTTCCAGTCTTACGCTGTGCATGGAAATTAAGAATTAGCCAATTAGATGACAATAATATGATTATTGATAAGGAAGTATGACAGTAATAGTGTTTATTGTGGATTATATTCTTGGGTTTCCACATTCATTTGTCAATATACCTGCCTAAAGTAAAACCATTCTATTTGACTTTTGACATGTAACCATTTTACCAACCAGTATAAAGTCGACTAGAGAATATATAAATATACCAGTTTACACTAGACAGTTGACCTCAGAAATCAGGAATGTTGGCCTAACCTACAAAAAATGCATTTGGATTTGTATTTGAATCATTCTTGTCGAAAATGACTTCAGTGAAAAATTTATTCCTTCTTAAATTCTTACTTAGCCCAAACATCCATTAGAAAGTCTTTAGGAAAACAAAAAAAAGAAAGTCGGTAGATTTCGCGCACATACTTTGGAAGGGTTGCAGCTTTCTCCCTCATCCTTTGAATGAAACGGCCATTGTGAAAGCTTCGGCCTGCAATATCTGCATCGAATTTTTCCAAAGGATAGGATAGCTTTGTGTGTTTGCCATCTTGGTAAAGGGCATATCCAAATACTCGTTGAGCATCAATATCTTTCACACAATCTGTGGTGAAAAACATATGAAGTTCAATTAATTAGTAGCTGATTCATCATTAGGAAAACAATATGAATAACATAATTAAGATATTATTCACTTAATTAATAACTTATGGTCAAATACCAGGTTAAAAAAAAAAAAAAAAGAAGTTTGCTTCAAATAAAATTAAAAGGACATGCATATTTAATGTAGTTGGTTGAGTTCCATGCATCCATGGCCAGAAAGTTTTAATTTAGCAACATGAAAATTGAATGCAAAGAAGAGTACCTTCAAGACCTAACTCAATTAATTTCAAATAACCACCAGGTTGTAAAAGTTCACCAACAATCCTGTCTGGTTCCGTCAAGTCTCGTTCAATCACATGAACTCTGCGTCCATCCTGCAATCAATTAATTAACTCAATTGAAATAAATTAAAAAGTCACATCATGGTTTTGAATCTTTAACAACTGCATCAACCTAAGTTCATCAAATTAATCACTGGATTAGTGATGTAGAATCATTCAATCATCAGACCTTGCCGTTGACTCTTTTTACTTGGAATGGAACAGTCAACAAGTAGATATCAATTGGAGCATACAACATTTTAGATTTACTTTTTACTTGCTGTTGAGGGAATTCACATAAACATCTATCTCTACAAAATTTTAGATTTACTTTTGAGTGATGCCAAAATGACAAAATTATTGATTGCTATAAAATTGGATATTACACCTTTCTATCACATTTCAGTGTCTCTAATTAATATATTTCATTAAACATTTCCATCGTTTGAACTGTTTCGGTTCAATAAACATAACTCTATATTTGTGACGGATTCCATATTCCTAGTGACGAATTTGACGTGAATGCAACTCAATTTAACGCCTAACCGAATCAGAAAACATGATGAGCAGAAAAAGTAAATGAAATATTCGTGAACAACGGAAAACCAGTGTTGAAAGAGAGAAGTTGTTACAACGGTTTGAATTTGCGTAAGCAATCCCTTTATCGGCCCTTTAAAGGGAATCCTCATTCTGGAGATTTCCAGGGAATGGGGATCCCTACCTCTTTTTTAAACTAAGCTAAAATAATAAAGGTAACAGAACGTTGCATGACATTATTAGACACACGGAAAAAACCAAAAAAAAAAAAAAAGTAATTATGGAATTTTCTGGAAGCTACTATATTAATTACTTCCAGTAAACATTCTGTAGGCAAGAAATATATGTAGATTAAATCATTTAGATATGATAATTTAATGCAAATGATACGCATTCAAGGATGCAGAATCTCACAAAACTCGTTAATTTCCCCAAATGGGTATTAAAATTTTTTCTTAAAAAAAAAAAACAACAAAAAGAAAAATGTGCCAGATGCAAAAAAGAAATAGGGAGATACGTGTACGTATATTATGCATCGTTATGGGAGTTAATGCATCCAGCTAGCGGTTCGATTTCGGTGGTTTGTATTAATTTTGGGTTTGGGCCGAAAAAAGTAACCCCAAAAAAAAAAAAAAAAAGGTTTTTGTGGACGTACGGTACCTTTCCGAGGGTATGAGCCAACGCCGCCCCGGCAACTCCGGCGCCGACGATGATCACGTCCGTCCTTTCTTCGCCTCCTTTCTCCGGCGAAGCTTGACGGCGGTCGAAGCTGACGGAATCCGCCGTGTACTCGTCGGCCTTCCATTGATCGGATTTTGATGAAACTGATGATGATGGTTTGAATTTCTTGGAGGGCTTCCCTTTGATGATTAGCTGGGTGTACAGCAAAACGAGGCCGACCAAAGAAACCACAAAAGCTCCCACAATGCACTGATCAATCATCGTAAAAAAGATATAATTAATTGTTTTTCCTGCTATTGGGAATGGAGGTGTGTTTTTTTTTTTTTTAATAAAAAAATTTTTTTGCGTTAATTCTTCTCTGAAAGAATGGTTTTTGTAAAGCGTTAGTGAAACTTTGAGTGTGGGTTTTTCAACCACGGTGTCGCTATTTATAGACAAAAAAGATTATTCAGGGATACATGTTTTTTTTTTTTTTTTTTCTTTCTGGCCAAAATAACTAATACATGCAGTATGACACGGTTTTTAAGTTCTGTTCCTTACAACATCTGTCCCCGCCCCCAATTCAATAATAAATACTCCAGAAAATTAGTGAAATCTTGAACGTATAATTCAAAACATTAGAATATATTGATTTTATTGTTTAATGTTTCTCAAAATTAAAAGTTATTATTTCACAATAATTTTTTACAGAATATAAATTTCACAGGTCTAATTTTTAAAATTTTAATTTCTGAAAGTAAACTTTTTTCCCAACATATAGAGTAAGTTTTCTTTTATAACTTTTGTGATTTGTCTTTTAATATAAATGATCATTCAGATAATTGCTACATTATATACATTGTGATGCAAAATACTCCATTAAGTATTCAAAATTATTGAATGAAATAGTTTATCACTTGAGAGTATTTGATCACAAATAAACTATAGTGTTCCCCCTATCCCCCTCCCCCAAAAAAAAAAATCACTTTGAGTTTTGAGATTTGTACTAATTTTAGTATAAATTTAGAAATTTAATATGGACTATTTTCTTAAGACATGGGAATACTGAATTATCCAGGAAAGGGTTTTTTTTTTCCCTTCCATATATAGTTTAGTGCTAGTACGTAGCTATTTCATGAATTACATATTTTTATTTAATTTCACCTCTAAATATTTAAAAATAACCACTAATACAGTGCATACGAAACGGCCTTAACAAAGAAATCCATAATAATTTAAGAAGGGAGGGAAAAATATAAATATTTACTAAATAGCTTGTTGCACACCATTACAGCAACATTGCATCTAAATATTTTTTTGGTGTTGTAAACTCGTGGGAATTTTGCAATTTTGCATATTCGATTAACATGAAATTTAAAATACAAAACCAGATATATTCATTCTAAATGGAACTGGGAAGAGTACGTAACCTATCAAAATAGTCATGCTTGTGCAAGTTTATTCTCTTTATTAGTATATTCATCCCCCCTAGCCTCTCCCCTCTCTCCCATTTTCTACAATTTACGAAAAAGGAAGATAATTTATGAACTTTAAATCCTTTTTTTTTTTTTCTTGGAGAGGAATATTGACGGGATGATACTATGAAGATGTTTGAAAGCGGGAAATTGGGTGGTGTGCTGCACCGGAGTGAATGAATGCGAGGGTGGCATCAACATAATCTGGTGGTGCAGCAAATCTGGATATTACGTAAGATTTTTCCTTGAGTTGGTTAGCCGGGCGGTCGACGTGGACTTTTTCCAACCGGCCGATGACGAGAAATCATTGAATGAACTTGTTACATTAAAATTCGGTCAGAAATTGAATGCACCGTTTCTTGTTTTGTTCCGTCATTGTTCGCATAATAATTACTTAATTTGTATTTATATTTGTATTTTTAATTTAAAATACAAATACAGATAGAATACTAATTTTAAAATGGAAGTGAACTCTTACCAGGATAAGATGCTCTCTCTCTCTTTTTTGGTTATTATTTAATAAACCATTTGATGGGTCGCATTGTTATATAACCTTTTGAGTATGTGGTGATAATAAAATTAAACTTCCTTTGTCTTAAAATAATTATCTTAACTATTTGTTATACCAAAACCAGCACGAAAGCTGTACGATTATTCCAAGACGGAGGGAATAATAACTTCCTAATAACAAGTGATTAAAAAGTTTAGATGTAATTAATTAGTTAATCCAAAAAAGTAATAGGTGTAAAAGAATATAATTAGTTAACAAAAGTAATTTAATCTCCGTCATCATTGTTCTGTTCTTATGTCAACATAATTAGCCATAGATATTAGTTGAGAGCATTAACTGCATAAGTCAAGATCTAAATTGGAGAAACGTATTGATTTGTTTAATAATCATTGCTTCTATAAGGAAAAAATGAGATACGTTTCACATGCATGTATTGAGAGGTTTGAGATGATTTAGATGATTTTTGCATATAATTCCTTCATGATTGATATTACAATCCGATTGTTCTTTTCTGTATTCCAAAAGTCGCATGATGAAAATTAGAGTATCTCCCCGCTGACATTACCATGTTTTGGCTCGGGAAAAAGTGCTTCTCTTAATGTCTTCTCGCTATATATGTTGAGGTAGATCCACGAAGGCTTCAGTTAAGTATTATCTTTATCCTAAAATTTCAAAACTTAATATGTACTATTTTTTTATATAAAAAGGTATTTAAATTAATTGACAGTTAGTCAGAGCAATGACTTCGGACACCAATGCGTAATATATATATATATATATATATATAACTATTTGTGAATATAAAAGAATGTCAATCTCAGACAATATTTCTTGTCAAACATTGTCATGCCTTGTCGCCACCACTATGATGAGAAAGCTTTGGATTTACAAGTACATGTATAAAAGGCCTAACGTAAAATGTCAAATAATTACTTAATCTGATACGTTAAGCAAGTCAAAAGATGTTGGATCAAGAAAATGGCCTTCTATAAATAATAATATGGGCAGCACAGAGATAACAACATCAGTTCGAGTGAATTTCTACGTTAATAAAAACGACACTTAGGACTTTGATGTGAAAGGCGGTAGAGCTTTTGGTTGGTAAGTCAACCCAGTCAGCATACGACACAATCACTTATTCCAGCTTCTAATTTCCAACCTAACACAAACTCAGTGTCGCGTGTGGTTTTATCTCGCACAAAATAATTATTTTATTTGTTGATAAAACTAAACAATTATTCGAGAAAGGAAAAATATATTTGTAAAAGAAAATGAAAAAAAGGTATTATATCATTTATCTCTCGTCCAAAATTCGAGCCATAATGATCCACATATATATACAAGTCTCAAAGAACACCACACTTATTGTTAATTACCTGATTGTGAGTCGTCATATGTGCATGTGTTTGATATGAGTTTCAAAACTTTCAAATGGTTCCATGGAAGTAATTAATCTGTACTATATAGTATGAGGGTGATTCGTGTAATTCAATCCCTAAGAAATATGTTGTGAGCACATAAAAAAAAAAAAAAACCATTTCTCGAAATTTCAATTTGTAATGAATTGTCATCAGCATCGAAGGATCCGTGCGGGTTGCAAAGGTTGTTGAATACAACAGGAGGAAATTGTACAATCTGAAATGTGTTAATCTAATGTTTCAGGTGTTAAATGTTAATCTATTTCATTGCAGTATACTGTACAAGAGAACAGCGGACGTAATACAATCAAGGTTGCATATAAGTTAGTACTCCCTCCGTCCCATAATTATTGTCCAGTTTGGGTTTTTATTTTTAGTTCAAATTATACTAAAAGTAAAATTTCAAACTGGACAATAATTTTGAGACAGAGAGAGTATAAGTGAAAGATCAACTGCATTCTTCACGTCTTAATATTGGTGTATTTCCTTAAAGCTGCATAATGTGGTTAGGCATTTGCATTTTGCTGCGCATTTATTAATGCGGCAATGAGTGATACAAATATTATATTCGCAAGCAATATATTGAGTGACCTGTCATCACAATATTTCTTCCAATTGTAACTATTGTTTAACTTATTCTAACAAAACAAAAGAGCAAATATTGCCAGCAAGCATTCATCATAAGTAAATTCAGAAGACTTTTGTGAATAATTGGTTGTTTTCAGAAATATAAATAATATTGATACTCCTTCTGTCCCAATATTATGTCTATTTTGGATTTTTATTTTTAATTCAATTTGTATTAAAAATTAAAATTAAAACGAACAATAATTTCGGGACAGAGAGAGTAACAAATTATACCTCTTCAAATTTTATTTTATTTTTTTAATTTTTTTTCTTCCCGAAGTCATTTTGGTGTAGTGTTTGACTGGTCAGAAAATGGCCACTTCAGATACATGGCAGCCTAACGCTGAACACGACACCCCTCCATGAATTATAAATATAGGGATTATGATGTTTAGCCACCCCTCCGGTTTTAATTATTTGGTGAAAAAATGGTGATTTTATAATTAATGTTAGCTTCTCTCATCATCAGCATCCTGGGGTTCATTAATGTGTATTCCCGTTGGCTTTTTTGCAATGAACTGCAGCCTCATGCACTTTCATTCCGACATTTTAATTGTTTTTCTTTTAATTCTCACACTAGAATGTGCAGATCTATTTATTTAAAAATTTTCAGGAACTAATTCTGGAATTTACTAGTGAACAATTGAATTTGTGGTTACGATTTTCAGGACAAGGATTTAACCCTCTCCATCTCTCTCCAAGATCGAGTCTTTATCACTAAAAAAAATAAGACCTTTTCACCTACCTATACGCCCTACACAAATGAAACTCGAATTTAGCGCCAAAGTTTTCCATCAAACTGAGATGAGAAACAAGATTGGTTCCTGTATCATTTACTTGAGTCGAGCACTGGTGGGCGGCGCATGCGCAATTTCCGTAGGCCTTTTCCTTTCCCAACTGATTTGAAAATTTTGATCTCTAAATCCCGCTCCATCTTCTTCTGATCAATCTTGTTAGTACTCATTCGTTTACTTATTGTTACAGGTTGTCCTCGTATAGATGTGTTACGTCAGAAATCAATTTTCAATTTCACGCTACTTAATTATCACAAATTATTTTTTTCGTCTTGAGAAATAGTCTATTTTATTGAATGGAGTGTTATTGGCATTTGCATGAGCAATTTCTCACGCAGATTCTAAGTTGTTAATAGCTAGCTTCATAATTGTAGCATGTAGTCATCTTAGATCATTCGGTGATGAGTTTCTGTTATCAGATCGATGTAGTAAAACAAAAACCTTTGAAACAATCAAAGCGTTTGAAAATGTCCAAACATTAATTCGTTAGTTGAATTCATTTCCTCGTACCTATGCAGCAATATTTAGTAGCATACCAATTGGATTCAGTCAAAGTAGCGGGCTTAATACGTACAAAAAAATACCCCGATTTCAACATTCGTCCATACTCTCTGCCAAAAATAGTAATCTTTATAGTTCATACGCATACGTTTTACTAGCTGTCCGATGATTTTGAACACTTGTTAGAGTTTGAAATATATATATATATATATATATATATATATATATATTTGGACCAAAATTTAGTTTATAATAATTGTGAGTACATAACATGGAGAGAATTTTTAGTTTGCGCGACGTTTGTGATGCCTATTTTCTCTATCTTCTTTCTTTTTCAGAATTCACGAACCAAAACTAAATTAAGAGACTGAATTTTTCTACCAAATGACAATAAGGAAATGACCTTCAGCAGTTGCAGAAAGATAAAAGCGGCACAATATTAATATATATATATATATATATATATATATTATATGTACACACGCTTTATAATTAAATTTCTCTCTTTTAAAAGATCTTTATTATACACGTAAATAGAATTTGTATGGTTCATTTTGAATGTATAGTCCAGATATTTGGTATGGGGGAGGTGGGCTAGCCAATATGGTGGCATTCATGAAAACTAATTAAGAGTCCACACTATTATTCGCATTTTATTTATGACCAATAGGTGATAAATAAATATAAAATTTATTCTTGCATTTATTAATAAAATATCAAATATAATATTGAGGTACAAAAATCGACAAAATGATTATTATTTTATCATATTACAGAAAAATAAATGTGAATGCTTTTATGAGGAGGAAGGTATGGTGGAGCGATAACAATATATCCTGAATTTCTTGGGAGGAAATTAGGTTATCCAATTTATGGTATAATAATATCCCATTCGAGGTGGTGAATATTAACTTGTAGATTTACCCAAATGAGGTGGATATTTATGCCCACCTTACGATGGGCTGGATTAGACTCAAGCCGAGGTCCAAGCCTCCAAGGTCCAAGGTCCATGCAAATGTGAATTTACATTTTGAATACTCAACTTTCTCAATTAAAAAAGTTTGGTTTAGCTCACAACTTCTTTAAATTTGCTAATAACCATTTTGATATGCATTTTCTTTTTCTTTTTTTTTTTTCTCGGAAATTTCATTCCTATCTATTTAACTTTGTTCATAGTAGGTAGGACGGTAGGAGGATGGAAAAGAAATTGAAAGATAAAAGAGGAGTGTAAAATTTGTGAAAGGTGCTGTGCGTTCACGGTTTTGCCCCTGGATTCTGAATAAATAACAATATTTGCCACGGAGAGTGTAACGGCTACTTATTCCGACATGAAAGCGGATGTTTAAAAATCATTTGACAAACAATCTGTTTCTTACTCCTGCAACTCCCAACTAGTACTAAATTTACAGACCCCAAAAAGGCAGCTCAAAATCTTGAACTCCCCACGCTCTCCATTCGATCCATATCCATTCAATTACCTTCCAAACAAAACCCACAAAAAATGGCTGACGAAGAAACGCGTTCATCGGCGAACTCAGAAACCGAAGGAATGGGAAAAGAAGATCAAGAAATGGGTGAAAATGAAGAGTTCTATGAAACAATTGAGGCACCTAAATTCGTTGATTTTAATCTTCCGGAATATCACCGGCCGGATGATCGCTATTGGTTCTGCTTACGAGTCGGTATGGCTTCTTATTTTGTTGGCATATTTTAAATTTTGGGTCTTGAATTTCTTCTGCAGTCTTAATTTTTGAATTTGAGCTCAGTCTTTTGTTGTTATACAGATCTATGATTTGTTTATATGTTCTTGCTGCTTAATTAGTTGAGCTGGATCTGGGATTCAGTTAAATTAGTAAAATGCTTAGAAAAGTTGGGATCTTTGCCATTTTACTTTGACTGTTTTAAAAACCAGGAATTATAGCAGTTCTTTTAGCTTGTTCTTCTTCTTCTTCTTCTTCTTCTTCTTCTTATGCTTTTGATTGTAGCAAGTTTGGATCAATTCCTGGGCGTTTTTCAAGATATTCACTTGTTTGTTCCACAGGGTGTGATCAGAAGCACGAGGAAGAAATGGATTCAGAAGCAATTTATAAGAATTTTGTTCTTAGGGTTAGTCTGAAAGATATATCTAGCTCAGTAAGTTAGCTCAAAATTGTCACTTAAATTGTACTCACATATTTGCATTACTGGTCTTTGCAGGTGATGGCTGCTAGAAGTCCAAATGTGAGACTTCACAAGGCACTCAACAGAGATTGTTCAAGGTGAGCTACAGTACTACACTATAACAATACATATTTTCAGCAAATCTTATTTGCATAAACACTTTTTCTTAGTTTCAGAAAGTTTGGTGTTTGGGTTCTGATTGAGCACAACTTCGTGTACTTGTTTTCCAGAAAAAACTTGAAATGTCCGCAATCGGTTCCCCCTAAATCATCCAAGTCTAGACTATCCAGATTGGCTGTCATTTCATCAGTGTCTCTAAAGATGGATGATAACAAAGTAAGGGTTAAGCCTAAACCTGTTTCCAAACTATGTTCAACTCCAAAGGCCAAAGGAAAAGAAGTAGCTGCAAAGTATTTAACCACTCCTAGGAACAAAAAGTGCATTGCAAAGGCAGATGTATTTCGCAGTGTTCAGAGTACAAAGCCAAGCGTCGTGGTTCCAAAAGATCGGGCAGTGGCAAAGACACTGACCTTTCCATCCCCAAAGAAGGCGTTTAATTTGAAGGCTTCTGTGGAATTGCGTACTCCTTTGTCAAAATTATGTGACAAGATGAAGAAGCTCGAGATAACGAGTCAAAAGAAGACTCCCAGGGTTCGTCCTAGCCAACAATCTAAGCAGTGTGGAGATCGTCCTAAGAAGTCATTGCCGATTAAATCTTCAGCAAGGCAAAAAGTTGCCAGCAATGATAAATGTAATGGTAAAGTATCACCCAAGTCCATTACTAGGAAGAATAAACAAGAAGCTGAGTCTACAAAAGGTAAGAGCTTGCAGAGATTACATGGACGGGTGAAGCAAGTTCATTTTGCTAATGAAATTGAAGACGAATCAAGAGATGAGGTGTTGGGAGATCAATGCTCCAGAGATCTTGCCGCAGAAGAAGCAGCCGTTCCAATCTTACGTGGGCCATCATCGGATGCCTCAGAAAGTAAATCAAATTTCTCATCCAACTCACCTCAACAAAATGTTGTAGTTGATGATGTTTTGACTTCACAAAGCTCTATCAAAGAGGATAATGGCAGTCAAGGAAGACACAAAACAGAAATTGCAGACAGTGATGATAAAGAAAATACTACGGCCTTTGATGAAAATAGGTACAAAGCCAATTTATCCTTGCACTTGCTTCTGATTGATTTCGTTTCCTTTTGGTACAACTTGTCACAGCATAGTTCATTTGACAGTTTTTGTTTGATTCTTTGATACTAATCAACTTGAATTTTTTGCAGAAGCTTCAGGCACAAAAATGATAACTCGGGAAGAAATATCCTTGGCATACAAAATTCTGATAGAAAAAAGGTTAGAACCAATTTTCCTACACTAGACGCAAAATTTTTGGGTTACATCCATTTGCTGACAGAATTTGTGTAATGTTGTAGGTTACTGATGCAGTTGTTAAAGAAAATGGTGCTCCAGGGTTGAGGCCAATGAAGCTGAAACCCACAAACCCGAAACCTTTCAAATTTAGAACTGATGTAAGCTGTTTTCTCCATCTGATACTGCCTTCTGATATCATTACCTACTCAATCAGATATCTGATACTAACGATTTGGTTTTCAGGAAAGAGGGATACTCAGAGAAGCCAACTTGGAGAAGAAAAATAACGCAATTGGTTCGCAAAAGGAGCATCATGACAGTCAGGTTAAATTTTCTTCTTCGTAGTAGTCTATGTCCTTTGAAATTAAGTAGGCTGAATATATAATTTGTTCAAACGGAGCTCTTACATTCTTAAGTTTGGTCTCCTGTCTGAAATTGATCGTTCATTTTGTTCATTCATGAGATTCTTGAAATTATGTAACATCTTTCCTAATGTGCAGAAAAGGATAGCTGGCCTGAAACCTATTAAAAAGGAAACGATGACAAGAACACCAACTGGGAGTAAAGTGCACCACACAAAGCATGACGAAAATAAGCCAATGACCCTCACCTGCGAAAGCAATACAAGGCGAAAGTTGGGGCATGTATCAAAGAAGATATCTTCAAATGGTCCGCAGCCTCAAAGGTGAGACACTTCCCTTCCCATTCGTTTAAACTAAACTCTCATCAAATAACATGCGGAAGTGAGATTTGGGGACTTCTTTAAGCATGATCTCTTCTTGATACTTACAGGAACCTAGATTTCACTTCACAAGCAAAGACTGGCACGGTAAACACTTCATCCGGAAATTCAATACCTAAGGAAAGAGGTAGACAATGCAAGAAAACAACAACTAGAGTCGCAGCCGGTTCCCCTGTTGCAAGAACAGTAACTTCTACCCTTAAGGAACCCAACTTTCACAGGTCCCCCCTTATGCCGAAGAGTTGCGCCAGCTGAGCTTACAAGTCTTTTCGGTGGTTGTCTTTGCAGAGCATGCTTTTTTTCTTTCTTGATCAATTTCTTGTTGGCTTTGATTTAATACACCTTACAGTTGTAAGCTTTTGACATTCTTTGAGATTCTTTAGAGACCTGTCTGATGATTTGTGCTTGTTAAAGCTGATGGAAAAATAAAGGACGTGTTTCAATTCTTTCCTTTGTAAGTGTTTGTATCATAACGATTTTTCCCCAGTTTGCCTTTTTCTATTCCATTTCATTTCTAATTTTTATTGATGAAATGTTTGGAAATTATATCCTTTCTTCTTAAAAATAGATGCAAAATATAGCAAGAAATTTTTTATATGGGAATTAAGACGATGAAGATAAATCACTGACAAAGTGGCACATCCAAACAACAATCCATGGTATCAACTGAGGTAAAACGGGTTATGAAGGGGGAAAAAAGAGAGGAAAAGAAGCAATAACTGACATGGTCGAAGAACAGGACAGATGGTTCTCTTACGACAAAGTTTGATTGATGGAAACACCCCATCAGCCCCATCCATTAATTACAGAAAGTGCTCTCACTCGAATGGACGCATTAAGCAGATTCTCCTGAATCAGCAAAGTGAACTACAGGCCAGACATTCAACGTCTAATTCATTTCTTGAGTGTTTTCAATTTCTCATTTCCCGCAACAAGTTCTGCGGCAATTCCTGGTTCATTTGCAGAATGTCCTGCATCCTGAACCACCTGCAAGCAGCAAACACATTACTGGCTGGACAACTAATGAGCAATAAACAGTACCTTTGGCATCATACAAGAACTTGCTACTTTCTCTACAATAAAAAATAAATGGAGGACCAACACAAATTATCATCAATAAAAATGATCTAATCTCTATTTCCATCATCAATAAAACTACACGACGGTAACTTACAATGAATTCTGCCTCAGGCCAAGCTTTATGAAGATCCCATGCCGACATCATGGGACAGCAAACATCATATCTTCCCTGAAAGAAAAATGCATTTCAGCAACTCTCGATAAAAGAACATAGAATGTTCTCAGGAAACCTACTTGAATTTCCAATAAGAAAATTGAAAATATAGTTCAAAGTTAAACAGCATCTTATCAGCAGTAAGGAATCAAATTATGGCAGATCTGGAACCACATCAACAATAAACTAGATATGCCACCGCATCAACAATAAACTATGTCGAGAAAGTAAGTGCTAGAGTTCATCTTCAAAAGGTAGATGAACTCTAGCAAATACCTGAACAATTACAGTGGGGATATGTTTGATCTTGTCCACATTATCTAACAGGAATGAGTCCGATTTAAAGAAGCCCTTATTCACAAAGTAGTGATTCTCAATCCTTGCAAATGCCTGCATCAATATGGCAACTTTAGCATCAAGAACCAAAAAAACAATAAAGTAAGAAGAATTTTTGTGCAGAAAATCTCACAAGTAATATAAACCATGTAACCCCAATAACAGGCTTTTCCTTCTTATACTTACCAAGGAAAACATATCATCATCACCTCTCTTGATGTTCTCCTCATTCGGCCTAAGATGTGCCGTCATCATTTCCCATTTAGTCCATGCCCTTGCTGCTGCATACTAAACCCATAAGGACGTAAGGAAGTGTAGAATGCAAAGTGAACGAGAGATGCAACAATAAAGGATATTAATAAACTCAAACTCCAAGGAGGGAGAAACCAGACTGTTCAACTTACTTGAGTTTCCTTGTCATCAGAGTTTAGTCTTTTATGGTAGGCCTCAATAAAGCACCCCCTCTCATTCTCCGGAATCAGATCTCTAAAAGGCTCCCATGCTGTATACAGAGAATAGGCACATATATAACCACATATAATCGTATAAAAACACTTTAATTATTATTATTATTTTTTATTTATTTATTTTTTGCGCGAACTTAGAACTACACAATGGACCGTACCATCAGGATATATAGCAGCAGCTCCACCTTCATAGAACCAATCAATCTCTTTCTTCCGCAACAAAAATATCCCGCGCAGCACTAAGCCAGTGACCTTAAACGTATAAAAGGAAACGTAGATAAACCTGAGAAACAACGGGGCAGGATAGGGGACAAAAGAAGCCAGAATTACAAAAGATGCATCTAACCTTTTCAGGGTGCGTCTGGCTATATGCAAGCGCAAGTGTGCTACCCCATGAACCACCAAATACCTGGAAATTCAAGACTGGTGAGAAAGGTAAGCAAGGAATACAAAATGATGGAAAGAGGGAAAGTCGCAAACCTGCCATTCTGGAATTTCTAAGTGCTCTCTTAGCTTTTCAATGTCATTAACGAGATCCCAAGTCGTATTCTCCTCCAAACAAGCATGAGGTGTACTTTTCCCTGCACCACGCTAAACAAAGATAAATGTGTCATCCACACATGATATAGATTGAGCTAAGCCTGAAAAAATTAAATTATGTTACAAACCTGATCAAATAAAACGATCCGATAAAAGCTGGGATCAAAGAATTTACGATTACTCGGTGAAGTTCCACCTCCTGGACCTCCATGGAGAAAAACAACTGGCTGCAAGGAGTTAAAGTTTTAAAACCTGCCTCAGCTGATTTTTTTTGAAGCTTATCAACTCAAATAGTGCAAAACCAAAGATTATCCTAAAATGTAACAAGGATTAAGCATGTAATTTACAAGCAAGGTAAGCAGCAAAACCAATAATCTTCCTCTAAAGGTAGATGTTACACTTTGGGTATGCTCATTTACATAAAGAGCACGAAGATATCTCAAAGAGAATCTGTAAGTATCTCGCTGGACCCAATTATGTTGATTATTAAGGCTGCTGCCCTATATTGTGTTTTTGGCGCTCTACTGACATAAGAACCAAAAGTACATTTTGCTTTGCTTGTTGCTATATCCCATTCTCTCCAATTCCATCCTTTTCTCCTATTCCCCGTAACCTAATCACTTATAATCCCACTTTCGAGAAATGTGGAATGTCCCAAAATGCTCAAGGTTTCAACAATGAAAGAGCCTGATGTTTGATATGTAAGTTCCCAGATTTAGTATCCTCTAGCTCGAGGCTAAAATTTCCCACATACTCAAACAGCTAAATCCAGTGTCAGCCTCTAAGGACTAAAGTAGCAAAGTCTAAGATCACCAACTTGGAAAAACCCAAAAATCAGATCAAACAAACAAACAAACACAAGGACACAAAACAAAAAAATAAACTTTGTCCACACATCCAAAAATATTACTCAAGGGTATGACAACCTCCCCACATCTAGTACAGAAAATGAAACCACCAAGAGGTAACAGGGATCATCTTTAGCTATTAAATATACAGCAGCAAGTGCTAAATTTCACAAAATAGTTTTCAACATAGCTAGTAACAGAATTTTAACATTATAGATACAGGCTACGGATTTTAATCTAATCAAACAACTAACAAAAGTAATGTATTGTTGATGACAACTTACGTGCCCATTGGGATTCCCAGATTGCTCAAAGTAAATACTATGAAGATCGGAGACCTTCAAGAAGCCAGTACTATATGGCTCTATATCTGGGTAAAGCTCCTTTCTGATATCTGAGGGATCCCTGCTTGCCTCCATTGATTCCAGCTGCTTCTCAACCTTATTATCAATAATTTGAGCTTGCAACAGAGAGCTATTTCTTCCTTCAAAAAGATAAATGAAAAACTAAGCCAATTCAGATAGAAGATAGATAAATCTTAAAACAAATTCTAAGTATCACTGTTTTCTTCTTCCAAATTCAATGTCAAACTAATCAAAACAAGAAGGAAAAGGACATAATCCTTTCCAACAGATGTATCTAGTTTCCAATTTGATGATGACGTAATGCTTTTGAAAATCATCAGCTTGATAGAATAAAGTTGCTGAGTGGGACATCATACATTCATCTCGTCAGGGTACTCAGGACAGATAAAACATGTATCCACCAATTCACTTCAAGAGAAAACAAGATGGGATTTTCGCCTGAAAACTGATCCTAAAACGTAGATAATTACGAACTTTCAAAGTGAACAACTTGATTATACTGCACAACGAAGCAGAACAAGGTGGGTTTTCGTTTATATGCAACAAAGAATCTAAAGGATGTTAAGAAAATATTCAGTTTTTAACCCTCTCTTAATTACGAAAACAGTGAACTTCCTGGAGAAAATTCTGAAAGCTGACGTACCTGAGGAAGAGTGGTTTCTGAGAGGAGAAAGAAAAAGGGGTTTATTGGGAGAGAGTGTGGAAAAGAAGGGTTTAAGGAATTGGATTCGAGAGTCAGAAATCTGCGGGACTAGATGATGAAAAGACTCTATTTTTCCTCCTCGTACTGTATTCATCTGGATTGGATAGCGCCTTTACTAAAAATAGAAATACCAGAGGTAATTTGTGCAAATTTGTGATGCCTTGGTATTAGTATTATTTTAGACTTCAAGTAGAGTTAAGCAAAGGTGCTGAGAACCATGTTATAAGTACTAAGAGAACTGCATAACCGATTTGTCCTATTTGGTGGTTTGTCTTTTGAATTTTTGTAGCTAAATAGCTATTATAAGTTCAGCTAAGATGGTATCCAATTCCCTTTATTTTTCATTTTTACACAGTAAAAGATTGCACTTTCTCCGTGCCAAAATAATACTCCCCACAAACATGACTCTTATTTCGGGACGGGGAGCAGTATTCGAACTGTATTATATTGCAGTGATACTTCTTTGCTTATCTGTTACAGCAAACAGGTGATTGAAAATCAGGAATACAAAATGACCCCTCTGATAATCTTTAGCTCCAATATACTACATCTATATAGATTTCAACTAACTGAAGCACAAAACTGAACTTCTAGTATAGATAGATATATATGTACAGTTCCGAGAATCCGACATCAAACTTGACAACCACTACTACCACTACTGCTTCTAGTCATTACCTCCTTATTCTTGCTAGTATAGTCACCACTCACAACAATTCTGCTTAATTTACAGGGTTCTGCATTTTCCAGCATTTGTACCACCATTTTCATTGATGGTCTTGACAGTGGTATTCTTGATGTGCAGTGGATTGCAATTCTCAGTACCTTCACAGCATCTTCTTTCAATGCCTCAGATAAGCTTTTGTCCACTAACTCTATTGGGTTGATCTCTTGATCATTTCTCAGTTTGTTGTATATCCAAGATACTATGTCCTTATTCTCTCCAAACTCAGGTTCCACAGGTTTCTTTCCTGTTACTAACTCCATCAGGACCACGCCGAAGCTGTAAACATCACTTCTTTCAGTCACCTTGCTAGAATACGCATATTCTGCCACCAAAAAAAGGAGAAGGAAAGATCATTAGGTATCTTTGGACAAGATTGCTGATAAGGACTTATAGGAAAAAAAAATTCAAAATATAAGCAAAAACAACAAATGCCAAGGCGACGAGATTTTCTGCTCGCCTTGGCATCTTTGCAGACAATAGGATTGTTCTGAGCATCGCAAGAAAATAACAAACAAAAATTAATCACTAACCTGGAGCTATGTAGCCTGGTGTACCAGCAATAACGTAGGTTGACTCTCCACCATGACACTCGTTGGTTTGCAAAATCTTGGCTAGTCCGAAATCTGCTATCTTAGGCCTGAGATTAGCATCCAAAAGAATGTTGCTGGATTTTACATCACGGTGTATGATTGGTCTATCACAGCCGTGATGCAGATATTCGAGGCCTTTAGCAGCTCCCAAAGCGATTTCATATCGAACCATCCAATCAATCTTGATCCTCTTTGTAGTGTGTAACACATCATATAAGCTCCCATTAGGCAGGTATTCATACACCAGCAAATTGGAATCCTCACTTGTGATGCTGCAGTATAACTTGACCACATTCACGTGCCTCGCTGAGCTCAATGTGGCAACCTCAGCGTCGTATTCCTTTGATCGGATACTCCTTTTGGGTAAGATTGGTGAACTGCTTTGGAAACTCTTTCTGTTACCTGATCCTGGATTCCAAATGTGTTTTACTGCTAACTGCTTTCCATTGTTTAAGACAACTTTGTAAACGTTACCAGAGCCACCTTTCCCCAATAAATTTTCGTGCTTCAGTGCCTTTAGTATCTGCTCTTCGCTGAAGCTCAACACATGAAACAGTTTCATATCCCAAGAATCAGATCCCTTAATGTTCTGACTAGAGTTGTGCCTAAACCTCAAATATATGCAGCTGGTTAGTGATAATATCAAGACACAAGCAAATGCTATGAAGCAATACATCACTATTTCAGTACGTGGAGACATGCCAGAATCTGATGAACAAGGCCTAAAACTTCTAATGGTCTGACTACAAAGTCCAGCATTTCCATCAAAGCTGCCATTGAAAGCATCAATAGATAAAGAGTTCGGAATATGCCCAACAAGTTTGTTGTTTGACAAATCAAGAACATTAAGTCGCTGAGGCGAAAAGCTCCATGGAATTTTACCAGAAAGCTGGTTGTTTGAAAGGTTTAAGAAGTTCAAACTAGGAAGGGCGCCTAAATTTGCTGGAATCTGCCCAGAAAGTGAATTTCCAGCTAGATTTATGTCACTGAGAGAAACACAGGCACCTAATGAGTCCGGTATAACACCGGAAAATGAGTTCAATTCCAAATGAAGAGTACTCAGCTTGACTAATCTGCCTATTGTTCCAGGAATCCCTCCAGAAAATCTATTTGATCTGACATCAATTGCAACCAGTGAAGTAGCTTCTGAAATCCTTTCGGGCAATTCACCCGAGAAAAGATTGTTGGCCAGGTACAACTGTGCCAGTGATTTAGCATCACCAACACTTGGCGCCACCGGCCCTTCAAATTGGTTCCAGTTCAAATCAAGCCTTGTCACCAGCGGCAGACTCCAAATTCCGCTGGGAACTTCGCCAGAAAGCGAATTGTTGCTCACCCGTATTCGAGTCAAGGATGAACAATTTGCATAAGAAGAAGGCATTCCACCAGTGAAATTGTTGTTCATCAAGAGAAGTTCAGTAAATGCACCTTTTGCACACATATCAGGCGGTATTGGACCACTCAGATAGTTATAAGAAACATCAATGTAATCAAAATCTGACCATGATCCGAGCTTCTGAGGAAGAGGGCCAGTCAAATTATTATTGTAAAGTGAAAATTCTGTCAGGAACTTTAAATCCCCAAACTCTGGAGGAATTTCACCCGAAAACTGATTCTCAAAAAGCTGCAAGGATTGCAGTTTGTTCAAAGATCTGAGCTCTGAAAGATCACCCTCAAGCTGGTTAGTTGAAGCATCAAAGTTTACAAGGTTAGTGAGATTTCCAAATCCAGCTGGAATCTTTCCAGTGAGTCCATTAGTATAAAGCTCAAGCTGATGAAGATTACTGAGTCTGGTAATCCCATTTGGGATGTTGCCAACCAAGTCATTATAAGCCAGCTCAAGATTCTCAAGAAGGGTTAGATTTCCAATCCCTTCAGGAATTTGGCCTCCAATGCTACAATTTGAAAGGTAAACCCAATACAGCTTCTCCAGCTTCAGCAATTCCAAAGGAAATGGACTACTATCAAACTCATTATCACCTAGACTCAAGAACCCAAGATTGGTAAGATTTTCCAATGAACTCCAAGGAAAACGACCCGAAAATCCACTGCTATTCAGTTCCAAAAACTCCAATTGAGTCAAAGATGACAACTCTGGAACTTCCCCAGAAAAATAATTCGAGCTTAAATCCAAGTACTTCAAGCTAGTGCAGTTTGACAGGTGAGAACTAATGCTTCCATACAAGAAATTCGACCCAAGAGAAATCTTTTGCAGTGATTCAAGAGCACATATTATGTCAAATGAAACTGGCCCAGATAAATTCTGCGAAGAAAGATTGATTTCAGTTACCTTTTGGTTGGAGTCACAAACTATGCCTGTAAAATTGCATGCTGAGTTCCCCTGCTTCCAATCATCAAAAACAGGCGATGAAGCTGAGTTGTTCAGGGTGGATTTCAGCTGCAGAAGCAGCTGAACCTCAACTTCATCACACCGGCATATGGGAATCATGAAAACAAAGAAGAAGAAGACGCAAATGATGAAAACATTAGGCCAAAACCGGTGCCGGAAGATGGAAAATTCAGGCGTAATCATGGCAAAACCGGTGGACTAATAGTTATTGTTTAGAAGAGATGAAAGAGACTAGAAAGAAGAGACGTGCTACATTTAGCAAGAAACTGAAGGAGAAGGAAAATCTTCAGCCAGCTTTCTTTACACAATTGAATTGAGTCTCAGTGACATATTTTTCAAATCTGTACTAAATTGTTTTGTCGAGTGCACTGAATGAGATATTGGTTTAGTTTAGTTGTCCCTTTCAGTTTTTTAGTCCAAAGGAAGTCAAAAAAGATGTACACATTAACAAACAAAGCACTTTTTAATAGGCTTTTAGCAAGTACTTTAGAAGGTAGGACAAAGGCTGACTAATCAATGATTAGGAGTAGTAATTGATTGATTAAGTTAAAAAACCGTATATGTAGCAGCTTCAAACATCATCTTTGATTTTTCCAGCTTTCCAGGCTTTTTGCCTTTACGATAAATGCAACTTCCATGATGTTACAAAAGCTCAAGGGAGGAAGCGAAGAATTATTGGTGAAATTAAAATTTTGTCAATCTCCTGAAAGCAACTCCATTGCTAGTAAGTTGCTTACCAGTTGATTAGTTTTTATACTGTTCCCTTGCTCAAGTTTTGCTATTTACTCCTCCACAAGGCACCCTATATAAGGTATTTTGATTTTGTTTTATATTTCACTTTAGAAAATTTTTTTAATTGGAAAAAACAAAGTTCAAAAATATATTTTCACATTTATTATGTTCTCCTAAATATTTAGAAAATATTTTTAAGTTTTTATTTCAATTAAAAAAAGACATCTCACCTGAAATTTAGGACAAATTAAAATACTTTATAATAAGGAACCGGAGGGAGTATTTAACTCCATACTCCACAATTAATAAAGTGCTCTAAGTAGACAAAATCTAATACGGTTGAATGGTAAGAATTAACAGAAAATGTAAAGACCATAAGAACTCGAACGTTTTTCTATGAACCACACTGTGTAATAGCAGTGTAACTGTTAATCAACAAACTGTGAGGCAATGAACATTTTGCGAATCATGATTGATCTTTGTGGAATCATGTTGAATATAATCTTTAAGAAGTCTAACAAAACCTCTAGAAACAAGTTGACTTTAAGGGCAATATTTTCATTGATTTTATAACACTCATGAGCCTTTGTTGAAATCAATGTGGTGAGTTTCCAGCGGGGAGCAAATGTTAACATCAATCTATATCTATTTTACCAAAAGCAGGACAAAATGAGAGGAAGAAATGGCGGGCCGATGGGAAAAATTGGCGATCTACCCTAACATTTATATGGATTGTCAATTCTATCTTATTTTTTTCGATTAGCTAATATTACCCTAACCTATTCAACCATTAGCCGATTTTGTCTAATTTGTCAATTTCCGTTTAAATTAACGGATTTTCTGTTAGTTTTAATAATGAAAATATCTTAATAGTTTTTAAAATTATAAAAATGACCTTAAAAATTTGTAAAAATAACAAAATAGTCTCTTTTTATTTTTTTATTTAATTTTTTTCTATTTTCTATTTCTTTTTACTATTTTTCATGACTATAAAAATATACTATATGATCTTTTAGAATAAAAATTTATTTTTAAACAATACTGCACAAATTTATAGATTTACATATTTGTAATTCATGGTTGATTTACATAAACATATTAATTTTTCTAATACTATGGCTAGAAATAATGATATTATTTTTCTAATCCATTTTTTTCAATTTAAAGAATAAGATTTTTTTTTTACTAAAACTAATTTTTTAACGAAAAATTAAAAATTTTAGCATAGACTAAAAAATAATCGGCCAAATTTTCTGTTTCGTGAGAGTCGATATAAGATTAAGTCTCACCAAAGGATTTCTAACCGGGAGAGTGATTTTATCCATATTTAAGCGGGGTCCACTAAAGGCGAGAGGATTAGATGGTTAGGTGATTTAGGATTTGAGATAAAATTACTGTGTTCAATGTCTCGATTCTCACTGGGGCAATCTAATTTTTTTTTCAAAAAAATGTGGAGTCCAGTAGTGGAATAGATTTTCTTTATATTATTTTTTCTTTAAAAAAAAAAGACTTTCTGCTAAAGTTATATATATATTAATATCTCAAAAAATTATCGCAAAATGTTAAACCCTCACAATGATAAATATAAATATTTTTTGATAAAATATTTTGTACCATTTTTGTAAATGCCATGACACTATATTCTTGTGTTGGGCCAATGTAGAAATGAAATAGGTGTTTTTTTTTTTACTTTCTTTTCGTACTTGGCCTTTTACAGAAAAATTTATATTTTAGTTTTAAATATTTTTTAAATTTTATGATACAATCTAAAGTCTGTTGAATTAAATTGTAATACATTAAAGTATACCAATAACTTCTTTTTTAATCTATGCTAAATGCGTTATTTTTTTGTGCAAAATTAGTTTTAGTTAAATAATCTTATTCTTTAGATTGAAAAAATTGGATTAAAAAATAATATCATTACCTTTAAACCATATTATTAAAATATATATATATATATATGTGTGTAAATTAAACATAAATTTGTACATTAGAGTTTAAAAATAAATATTTTTTTTAAAAAAAGATCATATAGTATATTTTTATGGTTATGAAAATATTAAAAAGAAATAAAAAAAACAAAAAAAATTAAATAAAAACTGAAAAGAGACTGTTTTGTTATTTTTGTAAATTTTTGAGGTTATTTTTATAATTCTTAAAATTATTAAGGTATTTTTGTAATCAAAACAAATAGAATTCCATTAATTTAAACGGAAAAGAGTAAATTGGACAAAATCGGCTAACGGTTGGATAGTTTAGGGTAAACTGGCTAACGGTAGCCAGTTTTCCCGGGCCAACGGATCGGAAGAAAGTTGGAAGGCCAGAGTTAATGTAAAGTGGGCGCCGACTTCTTTGACGAATGCTAAAAATCACTACTACTACTATATGAATGAATGAAACTTCGCTGGTGTCGTTTCATTTCATCATCTCCAACCACCAATCTTAGTATTCTTGGCTGTATTACGAGAGATTAATGAACGCAATTCATTTTCTGAGTTCCAGAAAATTTTGTGAGCAAACCACAATTAAAATTTTATTACACCCCTTAATTTACACCTAATTTTCAACACTTCCTTTATTTATGATCGAGAATCTTAATCCACATTGTAAGGGAACTGCAAAAAAATTCACTAGAAGAGGTCACGAGCGTTAGGACTTACAACTATTAAAGTATAATATGCGCGCTAATATTTGTCAGTTTATTTGCATTGTTATTAATAAATATTTTTATTCTGAAAAATACTCGATATTGTAATTGCGAATTGAATTAAAAACAGTATAAGTTTTTATTTTAAAAGCATTTTTTTATGAGACGGAGGAAATACTATAATATTGCAAAAACCGCTCAAAAAAATCAATGCAACTTTGTTTTGTTGTTTTTTTTTCTTATTTCACCAGTACTTAAAGTCATTCTTTCATCATTCTTAATATATTTTGATTTTGGCATAAATATGGTTGGAAAAAGCCAGCGTTCAATTGGGAGAGTGGTTGGAATTTGGAAATGCTAACTATGATCAGTTTTTTAAATTTTTTTAAAAGAGAACAGAATAAAATTAAAGTAAGTAAAAGGAGATTATGATTGACGCATCATGACAAAGTACAACATATCACACTGTCTTTCAGTGTAACCGTGATACGTAAGCTAGATTGTTTTTTGCAGATATAAGAATTATTCATTTACAGTTGTTTGCACATTTTTGTCTCTAAGTATTATAAAGAATAATAAAACACATTCTTGAAATCATTTCTCTCTTTTTCTTCAACTTCTAAAGGAAAAAAAAAATTACTATAAATGAGTATAACCAAAAAAAAATGAATATAATACAAAATATAATAAATATTAAAAAATAAATGAGTATAACACAAAAAATAACTAAAAAAAAGTGAATATAACAACAAAAAATTGAAAAAAAGAATTAAAAAAAATTCTGGCCAAGGGTAGCCGGCCCAAAATTGGCTACCTTAACCGGCTACCCCTAGCCATAATTTTTTTTATTTTTTTATTTTTGCTTGATTCCTGACTGTTCTAAACATTAAAAATAATTTGCTTGATTTTCTTAAGACCAAAATTACAACACGAAATGCTCAAAGGAGAGAAAACAACAAAGTTATTATCTTCATTTTGGAAGGGGGCGGAGGGGGGACTAGAAAATCTTGACATCAATAAGATAGGCACAAAGTACAAAACCAAGGAAGACAAATTAATTTCCAGAGTTTTGTTGGTTTTTCCTTCTGCAGTTGCGAGGGGGAGGAGGACTGTCGATTTGAAGAGGGGGCTGCGAGAGGTGAGGAAGATGAAACATGATACTTTTAAGTGGATAATTATGTTTTTTTTCACTTTAAATTTGTTTTGGATGCTAAAATTTATTTTGCCAAAATCATCACCCTTATTTTTTTTTTTAGACTAATTAGTAGAATGAGTACATGCTTACAAAACGACTGGCATTTGCTAAGATTTCCTTCCTAATAGTCATTTTAATTTAAAAGCTAAATGCTTGCCTAATATGAATTCTGAAAGGGGCGCCTGAGTCTCAAAATGGATTGAACTCTTGGAGTGATTAATACCCGGAGGGGATTTTTTTCATCACGGTGGTGAATTCTTGCTTTTCCCACAGATCAACATCATCACCAACAACAGCCTTCTACTCAAATTGCCAAATCAAGTTAGCCACGATGTACTCCAAATGCAGCAATGCCAAGTTCAACCCAGGACACACTCTTCTTCCGGCACCAAAAGGCATCATCTTGATCTCTTTACTCCCTGTTATATCAAACATTTGAGATTCCCCGCCGGCACTGGCATCACCGGATTCAGTGCCGTCTAAAAACCTCCGGCCTGAACTCCATTGGATTCTCCCAAACCTCCGGGTCCCAACCCATGTCCGCAACCATGAAATTCACCACCAACGTCACATCTTCAGTGACCGTGTCTGAAATTGTTGCACATTTCATGTGTGGAAATTGGAAGTTGCCACCTTCCATTGCAAAATGTCGCATCTTGAATTCTCTAAATTACCTCGCTGCTAATCAACTAACCGGTCCGATTCGATTAAAAAATATCTGTTTTGCTTTTTCTTGTTCCTATTCAAGTCTCTTTGAACCATAGTAGTAAGTATCGTACGATACGCGATACGTATTGCACGATACGTAAGATTTTAATACGTATCATGGTATGTATCGCAATCGCTTGTGTATCAGTCAATTACCGATACGTATCGTACGATACATACGATACACGATACGATTGTGTATCGTACGATACAAAACATAGGTAAAGAATTAATTTTTTCGTAAAAGAATTCAAATTGTGACCATTTAAATTTTAAATTAAGAGCGAATTTCATTTACAATTTGTTAAATAGATACTTTTAATTTATTTCATAAACATAATCTTCCTCAATTGTCAATAAAATCGACACATAAATTATTCTAGTTAAAAAATAAAATTAGGTAAAAATATTTTTTATTCATAATATCATTTTCCTTTTTTAAATCAAGTATAACTAATAGCATGTTAATAAATGCAATACATGTTTATATTAATTTTTCTCTATTAAATTTATGACTTAATAACAATTATTATGAAAAATAATATTTATTACATAGGTTTGACGACCATTATTCATATAATGAATAAGTAATATGTGTAACTTTCAAATAATTTTGAATTCAACTTAATCAATTTATTTATTTATAACTGAAAAATAAAAAAAGGTACATAAATATATCAACTACATATGAAGTTTATGATATTTATTATTTTTTTTTATAGATATTATTATATTCAAACATATCTTACGATAGGATACACGATACGATACGCGTATCATAAATCTATGTTTCCGATACACGATACGTATCCCGCTTTGATAACTATGCTTTGAATCCCTTTTTCGGTGACTTTAATTAGAGTTAATAAATATGGTTGCGTGACAGACTGCAAACATAGAAAAAATATGATGTCTAAAGCAACCGGCGGTTTGCCTAGATGTCGGGATCGGAAAAACAGGGGCAACTTACAAGGCTACATTCCGGGATGACGATAGTTTTCTCGCTGCAGAAGTATAATGTCTTGCAATAAGGCCTGTATTTTTTTTTTAATTGGACAAATTAAAATGTCTTGTAATAAGGTCACTAAAAGTATAATCTATTGCTAAGTATATACGAACACGAACCTTTGAAGCATCACTTCCACCGTCAGCATACGAATCCTTCAAAATTAGATATGTTTTTTTTTCCCCTCTTTTCTTCCACGTTGGATGATAGAAATAGAACTATAAATTAAATTGTAGTCAAACGCTGACCTTTCTAGAGTTGACTATCCCAAAGGAAAAAAACACGCGCTATTTCACCAATAACAACTCGACTAAAATTGCAGATTGCACACAGACGATTGAACCAAATGACAATGTTAATTTGGATTGCTAAGTTTGCTGCACTTTTCATGTGCTTGTTGTCCTTGAGAGAAGTTGAATTAGTCACCGCTGGTGAGAGTGATATCTCATGCCTAAAATCATTGAAAAATTCCTTAGAAGATCCTCTTGGCATGCTTTCATCTTGGGATTTCACCAACATTTCCGAAGGATTTATATGCAGATTTCCGGGGATTCAATGCTGGAACTCCCAAGAAAACAAGGTATCTAACATAGAACTCAGTAGAATGGGACTGAAAGGCCATTTTCCTTCAGGCCTGAAGAACTGCGCTAGCTTGATTGTCTTGGACATTTCGTACAATCAGATTTCTGGGCCTATTCCTTCTGATATCGACGCCATTCTGCCTTACATTTCTTTCCTTGACCTTTCAAATAATCAGCTCTCCGGTACAATCCCGCCTTCGATTGCTAACTGTAGTTTCTTGAATACTCTAAGACTCAGTGTTAATCAGCTTAGTGGTCAAATCCCATATGAAATTGGCCTAATGCCTCGTCTCCGCTACTTTGATGTTTCCTACAACATGTTAACAGGGCCGGTTCCAACGTTTTCTTTTATTACTGATGTATCCCGGTTTAGCAATAACTCGGGACTTTGTGACTATCCATTGGAGCCCTGCGAAACCAGTTCTGAATCTTATGATCTTTCGACTTTCTTCCGGGGTCTCATAACTGGTTGGGCTGTGTCTATGAGTTTGGTCTTCTTTGCTTGTTTGTTTTTTGTTCCAGAAATTGATGTCAAGAAGCTGTTCCCTGAGTTTACCAAGAAGAAAAGTCCACTGATGAATCAACAAAGTCTACGGCAGGAAGCTGACGATCTGAACGACGCTATGAGGGTATTGGTCTTCTTTCTTGGTTTTGTTCAAAACTTTCTTTTCCCTTTCATTTCTCAGATCACTTAAAATGAAAGGCACTCATGGTGTTTCTGTTGTGGAACTCAATGCTGTCATGTGTAACAGCTTTAAACTCGTGATGATGTAGTTTTGGTACCTAATTAGGCAATGTTTCTGTGACAGATAGCAGAAATGGAAAAATATGCTAGCAGAGTTTCTTTTGCAAAACTCTCTGAGGCAACAGGCAATTTTAGCCCGGATAGACTAATCGGGATCGGAAGAATTGGAGCAACATACAAGGCGACGATCCCGGACGGGATTTTTTTTGCTGTCAAACAGCTGTTCAGGGACGAGGAGCATCTATATAGACGGATTGCATCAGTGATATTAAGTCTGGCAAGATTAAGGCACCATAGACTAGTTCCTCTAAAAGCTTACTGCCTTAACAAAAATGGGTTCTTTTTAGTGTACAGATATATGAAAAATGGAAACCTACATGAATGGCTACATCAAAGAAGGCAAGGAACTGAGGTGGAAATCATGGGATACTGGCCGTTGAGATTGAAGATTGCTGCTGGAGTAGCAGAAGGATTAGCCTGGCTACATCGGAACCGCGATATATCCGTAGTTCATGGATCCATATGCTCCAAATGCATCTTGCTGGATAAACATTTTGAACCTAAAATTTCAAACTTTTGGGAGGCCAAATTTATTACAAAATGGGATGATAGTGAAGAGTTTGAAGATGATTACAAGAGGGATGTTTACTTGTTTGGAATAATGCTTCTTGAGATAATAACTGGGAAGGAACCTGAAGAATTGGTTAGCATAATGAGAGATATTGTTAATCGTCCTTCTTCTTCTTCCTCTGTTTTGCTCCCCTTGCCAATTGATTTCGAGTTGGATGAAATCTTGGCCGATCAAGGATTTGAAGATGAAATTGTGCAGTGCCTTGAGTTAGCCAAGAGCTGTGTAAGCTCTAATCCAAGCCAGAGGCCATCTATGGTTCAAGTACATGCAACATTGGCTGTGTTTGCAAGGATGATTACCTACACAGATGATTTATAGGTTTCTAGCTCTTAGAAAGTTGAAACAACTCCCTGTCTATATGATAATAATGTAAGCTCTAAGAAGATAGAAATTTCATATTCTCTCCGTCCCAAGATGATATTCTGCAATGCCTTGAGTTAGCTAAGAACTGTCTGCGGTCTAATCCAAGCCAGACAACATCCATGGTTCAAGCACATGCAACATTGGTTGGGTTTGCCCGGATGATTAATTATCTAAAAAAAGATGATTTATGGATTTCCCTTTTGAAAAGTTGAAACAAAACAAACCTGTCTTTGATAATTTGTTCTCTAAACAAACTTTTCTTTCTATAACAATTGGAAATTTCATCATCTTTTAGTAATCCCGTCGATCAATTCGTTTTTGTGATGGTTTTGACTTATGTCAACGGGTTAGATCACAATTTCCATTCACTTAGTAATGGTTTGTAGTCATTTGATCATTGATTGAACCATTTAGAGGAACCAATTTATTCTTGGACCTCCCTATGAAAATACTCATACAACATGGGTTATTCTCGTTATCTCCATCCCCTATATGTAGCATCAAAATTGAAGGTTGGAAAAGGAGAATGCAGCATCTTCACATAAATCCTCCATCCATCTGAGAATAGATTTTGTTGTTTTTCTTGACAAGAAGTGAGGAGTGAGGGCAGAATTTTGCGCGCCACAAAACTTATAATATAAAGGATAATTCCCCGAAAATCCAATCCCACAAAAATTTTGGCCAAAAGACACAATTTTTTTTTTCATTTTCTTGCAAATCCATTATATTTATCCACAGAGTCCTTGTTTAATTTTCTTTTGGCTTAAAACCCAGTGGGCTCATTCCTAATAAGTGAAACACTTGAGAAACGAAACAGCGCAAAATCTCTCTTAATTCAAACATTCAGTCAGCCATGGAAGCAAGGCAGCGTATTGCAAGACTGACCGCTCATCTCAATCCACCAAATCCTCAGGTATGTAAGGTTTCTCCACAAAAATACTGTCTTTATTTTTACTGGGTTTGTCGATTCTAATTACTGCTTGGTTTTGAATTCTCTGAAACTTTGTAATCGATTAGCCCGGCCTTCAAGCTGTGTATTGATTATTCTTTAGCAATTTAACCAGCTGCATGGTTTTGTTCATATGAAAATGTTAAAGTGATATTGGGTTTTCATGATATGTATGAAAAGATGGAGGGGAATCCCATGTTGGAGCAAATCAATTGCAGAGCAAAAGGAGGTTCCCCTGGATTCAAAGTGGCAATATTAGGAGCTGCTGGAGGAATTGGACAACCTTTGGCTATGTTGATGAAGATGAACCCATTAGTCTCTGTTCTTCATCTGTATGATGTTGTTAATGCCCCTGGAGTTACTGCTGATATCAGCCACATGGACACCGGTGCTGTGGTACGCCTAATGATATTAATTCCAGTCCGCAATTACATGATGAAAAGGTTAAACCAACTAAGCTTCATGTTATATGCTTGGTTTTTAGGTTAGGGGTTTTCTGGGAGCTCCGCAACTTGAGGCTGCGCTTACTGGAATGGAGCTTGTGATTATCCCTGCTGGTGTTCCCAGGAAGCCTGGAATGACTAGAGATGATCTCTTCAAAATCAATGCTGGAATTGTAAAAACCTTGTGTGAAGGAGTTGCTAAGTGCTGTCCTAATGCAATTGTGAACTTGATCAGCAATCCGGTAAACTCCACCGTCCCAATTGCTGCAGAAGTTTTCAAGAAAGCCGGCACTTATGATCCAAAGAAGCTTTTGGGAGTGACCATGCTTGATGTTGTCAGAGCCAACACATTTGTTGTATGTATCTCCACTTCTTGTTGTTGATTTGAGCACATTGTTCACATTTTTAACTTAATCATTTCTTTCACTAACAACACCGGAAATTGCCTGACTCGAATGCCTTTTTTTTACTGAACTTCTCGTTGTTGATGAAGCATTTTTCTGCTATCTTGAATTCTTTCAGGCAGAAGTTCTGGGGCTTGATCCCAGGGATGTTGATGTTCCTGTTGTAGGAGGTCATGCTGGAGTGACTATTTTGCCTCTTCTCTCACAGGTTAGAGATCATTCTATCCAATACCGGAGTGACTATTTTACAAAGCCAGATTCAATTATCAACATTCAACAGTCACATTGTATTGCATTCTGCAGGTTAAACCTCCGTGCTCCTTTACGCCTGAGGAAACTGAGTACCTGACAAAACGCATCCAAGATGGTGGAACAGAAGTCGTCCAGGTACTGTTATTACCAAGGACTGAATTGAATGATGACCATTTATTATCTAAACTATAGCTAACATTGACTGGTCAATGTTTATGCCTTTTTCCAGGCAAAGGCTGGGGCTGGCTCTGCCACTCTATCGATGGTTAGTTATATCCTTCTTAATCACAAAGAAAATGTAGTGCAAAAATGAATTTTACTACTGTGGCTAAGTATAGAATTCACGCGAAGATAACTTGTTGCAGGCATATGCAGCAGTGAAATTTGCAGATGCATGCTTGCGAGGCCTTAGAGGAGATGCTGGCGTTGTGGAATGCGCTTTCGTAGCTTCCCAGGTTCATATCTACACCTCTTTTAGGCCTCCATTTGTTCTCTTTTGCAGTATGTTACTGACACATGCACAAAAATTAATATCAGGTCACAGAACTTCCATTTTTCGCGACAAAAGTGAGACTTGGGCGTACTGGAGCTGAAGAAGTCTATCAACTAGGACCCTTGAATGAATACGAAAGGTATAAGACAATCCCTTTTACTTCCAGTTGATGCTGGGGGTAAAATGCCTCCTGACAATTTCTTGGTATGCTTGAATCAGTTCCGGATGTGTCATTTATCTTATGCTTTTTCTTTCAGGGCTGGGCTGGAGGAAGCAAAGCAAGAGTTGGCTGTAAGCATCGAAAAGGGAGTTTCCTTCATAAAGAAATGAAACGTTAGCTCTATTTGTACAAATTGATTGTAAGCCATTTGTACTCTAGTCCAGGGCAAACTGTTGTGAACCTAAGTTTCCCCTTGGTTTAATGTTTGCCATGAGGTTAAAGGCACACTTCTGCAAGATTATAGCTCAACCAAAAATAATATTCTCCATTCAGAAAACAATATTACATATGTGCTCTGCAGCAAATGCTACCGACAGATCAGAGAAGGCACTTCATGTTACCGATGAAGAATCTAGTTTTTTGAGTATGCTAGTAACGGAACTGTCCAATCCTCGCGGTTCCATAGTACTTCATCGTCTTCACAAGCAGGATATTTAAAACTCGGGAAGCTGGAGAAAGTCAAGCACTTCATCGACAACCAAAAAGTCTAAATCAAAAAGTCTAAATCAAGCACTTCATCAACAATCGGTTAATGATTTGATAATATATGACTGTCATGACTATATTTATACAAAGTTTCAACTATCAAACCCTTGTGTTTTTTTACTATAGGTTTGCGTATAAGGTAAAGCTCCTTATTTACTGCTACAATAAAGCTGTCAATTGGGCAGAATAGCAGAATAGAAGGGGAGAAAAAATTTCTTCTCTGCGTATGCTCAATAGCACTAAACAATTTCACAAGGAAAAAGGATCTTGTGGAGGGTGGACAACAGGGATCTTCGACATTGTCGCATTGCCCGTGAGCAAGTTTGGAGCCACGGCATCCTCAACCACAACTGGATTAACTTGTAACACTCTCTCTGGAACAACCTTGTCTCCATCAACCTTAGCCAACACTTCAAAGTGCATTCTTACAGCCTCAGGTTTCGTCCTCCAAGCAGGAATGCCTTCCCAGGCAACCTCATCTCCTGCTTTCAACTTCTTCTCTACACCAAAACCTATCTTGACAAAAGTCTGAGCAGATATATCTGCCTTCAATAACTTAAAAGAACCCTTCTTACTCGCTTTTGAACCCAGCACAGAAGACAGTAGGGACTCAAAACCAAGAAGGTTAGCGTTTGATCCATTGATGGATGGCACAGGCCAAAGTGTAGTGAACTGGTTAGGAGAGAGAAGAGCTGTTGATTCCCCTTCAAAATCGAAGGTTGAGAGGGCATCAAAGGCTTTTACTTTTGATGCTGAAGATAGTTCCACAAGCCCAGGTGCAAGCCGCTTAAGTTTGAGCCTGTTGGTTGAAGTTGCAGATGAAGTTGGGGATGTAAGAGAGGTTGCACCAACAATACGAAGGGATAGAAGGGGGCTCTCTTGGCCACGAGCTGCAAGACGAAGACGCTCAGCCAGGGTCAAAAGACCCGACGCAAATCCATTACTTGTCCTGTTAAATGGAAGCGGCAGCTCAACTGGGTGACGTAGGCTTACAGATCTGGCACCCTTCACAGTTACAACAGCCCCATCAGCCAATATGACTTTCTTCAGAACACCGGCATCCACATCATGCTGCATAACGTAACATTTAACAGAATAAGAGACACAAATTGATAAACAAGAAATAATTGGGACAAGGAAATAAATACTACATTCCCTAATAGCCACTCCGCGAAACTCATCTCTTAGCAATGTCAATACATTGAGCCACGTCAGAAGGAGAGTGTATACAAAACGGGCCGACAGATTTCTTTAACTAGAGTACACAATGACGGCAAACCGAAAGGGTATCAATGCTAATATTTCAAGGAAATCAAAGTTGTGCATTAACTTCATAGACACTCAAATCAACTATTTCACTAGACAAAAAGGAACAAAATCCAGAATAAGCTCCGAACAGGAGAACATACAAGAAAAAAGAGCCATAAAGATTATGAAAGGGGAAGCAGCTTCAACTTACAGGTAGAGAAATTCGCATGTTCTTGGCATCCTGAATCCAGAGTTCCATTGGGCCAGCTAACTGAAAGGGAGCCAAGACTGGCATCTGTTTATCCATCTGCTCTTTCTCCACCAACCCATTTTCCTCTAACCCTCCCATAGAGTTGTCTGGTCGAAAAATGGGCAAATCAACATATTCCCATTTATTAACATCCTCCAAAAGCTTAAAGGGAAGAACTTTATTGTCAATCTCAACATCAAATTCATACGCCACCGATCTTCCCACTAGGGCGTCTCTTAAATCAAACCCAGTTATTTTAAAATCATCCGCTTGAAACCCTAATCCCTTAACAATCGCATCCCTCAAATCCTAATCAAGAAAAATTACCATAAATTTCGACTCAAATTCATCTTCAACATTTATATTTTCCTTAATCAAAGAGAGATATCAAAGTAAACGGCGAAAAAACAAACGGATGAGATAATTTATACACATAATACATACAGATATAGCTTTTGGATAGGGAGGATGAATATCCTGGCTGGCGACCAAAGCTGTACAGAATGTGAATTGAATTGCAATCAAAACCGACCAAAATCCGAATATGACAGCTGAACGCGCACCCAAACCCGAAGCCATTTAATTGGGGTTTTTATCTTAAACTCGGCCAAAAGAATGTTGAGATTTCCGTAAATTAAAATTGTTGAGAGAATCTGATCCCTCTGTAACTGCAAAATAGGGAGGAAAAATACTCAAATTATCAGGTACGAGGTAAAGGGGTGAAGAAATTTGTTTTGAGGAAAGAAAATGAGTTCAGAATTAGAAGTTCTGGATATGTGTAGGCGGTTGGAGAAGATGATGACGTGGATACCTTAGCCAATGGGATTCGAGAGAATGATGCGGCAGCTAGTTTCCCATTGGTAAGATGACGTGGTTATGACTTATGAGGACCGCCTTTCTCTTGTTTCCTTTCCCTTTTTCTTTGAAGTTTCTTTTCTCTTTTATTTTGCCTTCCGTGTTTATCGCAATTGTAAATGGTGGAAAATCCTGTTTTTCCAATGTCAAAAGGTTTATTATGACTACTGCTCCGTCTCTGGATATTAAATTATTGGAATGATTATCATTTTTTTTTCTTTTACTACTTTTATTGATGCTAAGAGTTCATTTTCAAAAATCTCTACAATTGCATCAAGATTGATTTTTCGGCATGAATTTCTTGTTATAATATCCTTCTCGTTACCATGAGATTAAGACTCTTAAATGTTTTAGATTTAAAAAAAAAAAAATCACTCTCAATTTACTCATATCCAAAACCTATCGATATGTCATTGCGTGTTCTTTTTTAGTTCACGATTTAATTAAAAATACACGTTATATATATATATAATTTATGTCAATCGTCTTTTATGCATACGTCCATCTTAGATGTTAAGAGTTTAAGTTTTACACGTTTAGCAAATGTGACATTCTCTCCTCACTACCCCTAGCACAATACCACCACAAATAATTATTTGAAAGAAAATCAATCCAAATTACTGAATCCCTCTCGTGTGAATCTCATAGACAAAGTAGCTTAACAAACAAGGCAACAAAATATAGTTAAACCGTCCAAAACTTCTTAGTTGACACCTTGTTCGTACAAAATTTAGCATTTTTCCCTTGTGTCTACTCTCTCTTTTCTAGAGGAGGTGATCGATTTGAAGGAGTTAAAGAGTTTGACAAAACTTCATTAATGGAAGCCAGCAAAAATATGTTCTTAACAAATAATGAGAGACTGATGTAAAGTTAATTATTTTATTTTGTCTCAATAAAATAATTTAAAGTGTAGTAAGTGAATTTAGTCTACTTAAGACTTTTTTTTTTTTGGACCGAAAGAGTACTTAAAATTCCAACTTTGCTATGAGTTATAAACCAAATCTTTAGTCCAGTAGTGGAGTATTCTCTCGGTTTATTCATTCTTTGTTACTATCTCCGTCTCAAAAAAAGAGTTCACATTGAGTTATCAAATTTGTATTTAAAAACAGTACAAAACTCAAAACTTAATGTGGACAATTTTTGTGGGACGGAAGGAGTAAAAAAATATCATATTTGTTAAACTGTTTTGTAAACACAAATTTATGTTTTGGAAGGAGAAGCTATTTGTCTAGCTGCTGTTTATATTCTTCTTTTTCCAGGATATACATAATTGAAGCAGTGGACTTCGATCGATCGTAGACACATTGGTGGCAGTAGCCAGATGAGCTATTAATGAATTTAACAGTAAAATTACAATGCAACAAAATTAATTACGATGATTAATCTGCCAAATTGGAGTTTAAATAATAAATGAGTACATTATTAGCTTTGTAAAGGAAAAAAAAAATCCCAAAATTTAAAGGCATCATCATCAATATATAAAAGTTATAGGGATTAAGGATAAAATGAATGTTCTCCGTCCAACTCCATCAGTTGCGTTAGGTAAAATGTCCTCCATCCATTTGGGTTCAGGTACTTTCAACATGATGATACAATGACATTCAAATTAAGCCGTCGATCCATAGATATACATGACGTGCGTTAGTTAATTGATAATTACATTTTCGGTGTTAATGGTTGTGATTGTAGAAATATAGATTATTATTTTAAGACGCAAAATGTAATTGAAATTTAAAAAAGCTTGAGTTTCTCAATTGGTATTACCTTGGCATATAATATGCAATCAAATCAAAGAAGATCTTTGATTTTTGGCATTACATGAGGGCAAGAAGTCCTGCAATATTCCTTTAGTTCTTAGTTTATAGCCAACTACAATTAAATGTACCAAATATTAAAATCATGTTGCATGTTTTTAAATTGTAAACCTGACAGATGACCTGTTCTAATAATTGCGTATGGGTGTTTAGGTTTAAGCAGATGAAAGCAACAAGGTAGTAGAGAATCTCATGATGAGTACGGTAAACCATCTCAATAGGCCCTTTAATTTAGAGGCTCAAATCATATTTAGCCTTTTTTTTTTGGTTTAAGAAAATGTAATCTCGATTTATAGTTAGTTAAGTTATTCTTATTTTGAGAGGACTATATCTATCTTCAATTCACAAGTTATCTCTATGACATTGTCACTTTAGACATATGAATTCGATATACGAGATGAAATTAAAATGATATCGATCCAGCTTTAGAAACTCATTTTTATGTCGTAATAAACACGAATTGAAGAAAACATGTTTTGCAATTGTAATAGTTAATTAGCTAGCTAGGCTCATAAGCCTCCTTCTTTGTATATAAATAAAAAAAAAAAAAGGAAAAAGAAAAGAAAACATACTTTGCAATTGTAGGAGCACAGCTAGATTAATTTAGCCTAACTTTGCTCATTTCTTGGTTTTGTTACCATACTAATCAATGTGAAAACCCGTGAAACTAAATATTCTCTGGATCGTTTTGTTTACATCATCATCATATTTTAATACTCCTTCGGTCATTATCACTTCACTGGTCGATCTAATGACAACTTGTGCAATTATATTTAGTATAATATTTTTCTACGCGAACCAGAAATGATGATATCAACAGGCAACCCAATAGTAATTCACGTTGCAATAGAAACTTCGGATAATTTATTCCTAAAATTGCCCAGATTTCTAAATCTAGAAATGATTCAATCTATAATATAATAATTTTAATACCCAGTGAGTGCATATATCACTCTTCCCTCAGCAAGAAGTCTACTGCAACCACATGATTCACGATGATCTGGTAACTCTCATTACACAACTGTACAATTTTTTTTTTTTAAATAAACGACTCATTAAATAGATAGCACAGATCAAGGTTTCGAATATTATATTAGTCAATAATTTCATATTAAGCAATAATGTATATAGGGCCCTTATATCACTACTAATCAAAGTCAAATAAAGCAATTGCATCTTCGGACTTTAGAAGAGTTGAGAAATTCATCACTTCTTTTTTTTTAATAATCTTTATATTCGCTTTCACTTTTTTAGCAAATGTTACTAAATGAACAATTGTTATATGTGCTAAAATACGTAGTTCAGAGTAACTGTTACGTTATCACTTATTAACACGCATTTTTACTACTTAATTTGTACATTTCTATTAGTAAAACTGTTGATATTTTTAAACAACACACACACATACACTTAACGGCTTTATCAGTAGAGAGCTTTCAAAGAAAGATATATAAAACATGTATTTTATCGAGTATATATAGACCGTGGAGAGAAATTTAAAGCGTATGTATGTGTATAGCTGTGTTTCTTTTGATCATGAGTTATACAGTTATACTGAAAGAGGTCGGCACATCGTAACAGCGCCCCCACAGAGTTTACATTGATCGACATGAATAACGTACCTAGCACCTTTATAATATTGAGAGACCCGGTTTAATTATTACGCCTTTTTGGTTAAAAAATCTGAAACAAAAAATCTTGTAAAACGTAGTTAATTAACTATACCGAAAAATTTGGCATTCAACATTTTTCCTTTAACTTGAGTATGGTACAGTGTTAATCTTGCTTAAAGATATTGAAAAGGTATAGATATATGTTTAACATGTCTAATTTGAAGGTTTACATTTTTGTATTGCTTATTAATAATGTCAAAAAAACAAAAAGTTACATGCTTTTTTTTTGGATTGTTAACCGTGGTTCGATATACTTTTTTTTTCCCCCTAATTAAAATCGTAAGATAGTCTAAGCGATCACATTTGCTGTTTAGAGGAATCCTTAATTATTCGATATAGTTAAATCTCTTGTAATAAAAACTAATTTCCAACATGGATTTCACTTTTGATTGCATGTTCATAATACGGTTGAACCATGTCACAGTTAAGTTAATCTTTCTCTTTTCATGTTTCAAAGGAGGTCGTGATCAATTAATCCATCCATGCACGAGACTTTTTGTAACCACAAAAAGAAAAACATGAGAAAATTTATAGCTAGTGAAGGTCCTGTCACATTTTCATCAAATCTCAAGGCATGAATAATAATGTCAAGAATGTTAAGGACAGCCGATTTATCTACCAACCAATAACGGGTCATTAAGGCAAAAAACGAAAATGAACTTTCATTACATTCAACAATTGTACATTGAGGAAATTAAATTACATACACAGTAACTTCAAAGGAGAAAGATAAAGACACCTCTTTTGCGGCAAACATCATTTGTCCAAAGAGGCCTCTAAAACATTTGACTTTACAAAACACCTTTTAGTACCTTAAAAGCCTATCTCTATCAATCCAACCCCTAAAAACATGTCCAAAGCAAAAATAGTAGGAGTAATTTGGTTTTGGTTGACATTTCAACCTCCCCAAATTAAAAAATGGCAAAACCAAATTAAGCCACGTGATCATCTTCACAACAGGAGGGTGAAAAAAGTGGGGTGTTTAACATGGTCAACATATGTGTACCATGAAAAAAAAAAAGTCAGTGGTTAAAAAAACCCTCCTTCAAAAAATGAACCACACAGCAAACAGGAGCTTTAACTGAGTCTTTCACTGTTTGAAAATGGTGGAATAGGTTGGAAAAATTGTCCAGGCTTTGATGGGTACGACAAAGATGTGCGAAAAAGAGAAAAAAAAGTGATTATTCGCAGGAACTTTGTGTGTGTGACTGTGTGTATGTGTGTGTGTGTGTGGAAATCCTAAGGTTTTTGGGACAAGAACACTGTATAGTTGTATATGTCACATGGAGTACTTCTTGAGGGCTGATCTTAAATGCATCACGAGATCCTTAATCGGCATGTTGAATTCTTCTTCCATCTGCATGAAATGAAGAAAAGGCTTTTCAATGAATGGGTTTTTGATGAAACTGAACAATATTTTCAATCTCAATATGCAGGTTAAAGAAGACATAAAATCTGGAAAATTAAAAAATAAAAATTGCTGTAAATATATATACCTCAGCTATAATGGTAATATCAAGAGTTGAACTTCCGAAGGTCAATGCGCAGCTATTCATTACAGAAAGATGGAGCTTCTCAATCTCAGCAACCATGGCTTCCTGAACTCCTTTAATCTTTTCACAGTGAACCCTGATGAGGACCTCTTTGTTACATATTTTCGCTTCGATTTGTGGGAGTGGCACATCATAAGGGCCATCAGAGATGTTCTCATCCGAGGAAAAATTGTTGCCATCCTCACAAATCTTGGTCTTCTTCATTAAAACCGCGGTTTCGACTGATTTCTTGGTTCCCTCCTCAAGGGTAGCTACTTTCTCTTGGAGTTCTTTGATGTACTTGATTGCATCTCCAAGAACAGAGGCCTTATCCAGCTGGTGATGAAAAGGCACAATTAGATGCTTCATCTTGTTTCTAAAACTTAAACAGATACAGAAACATGACTGTTATTTTGGGACGGATGAAGTATTGAAAGTAGAAATTTTGAATACCTTTTTGAGTCCAGGAAGAAGATGAGACATAGTGATGAATCGTTGAGTGAGTTTCTGTCTTCTCTTCCTCTCAGCAATGATGTGATCTTGAGCATTAGGTCTAGCACTGTTCGTGGCAGTGGTAACCCTTTTAGCTCCTTGGGAAGCCTTGAACACATAGTTCTGGTTCTGATGAATATCATATGACCCAACTACTGTGGGAGAAATTATTTCAGCTGATGCAAAATTCATAGTAAAAGAAGACTTGATTTCTTCTTTTGGTTTCACTGGAGAAACATGATGTTCATTGAAAGTATTACTTGAATTCACCACATGAAAAATGGGAGAAGTGACAGTTGCAGCTGTATGTGGTGGTGTTGAGGTTTGGTCACTATTTGATGAACTCCAGCTGCTGCTCTTTTGTTGCTTCATTGGTCTGTTAGTGTTGATTTCATTTGGAGACAAATCCAAATAGTGTTTATTGGGGTTGAAGAGATCAGGTTGATGATGATGATGATGAGAATAAGAATGGATGTTGCTGCTATTGTTGAAATGGTCATTTTCATAGATGGAGGTTATTGTGCTAATTTCATCAAGTGAATTCATAGACCAGTTGTTCATAAAACCATGATCCATTCCCTGTAAATATGAGGAAACAAAGGAGGGGGAAAACAAAAGGAAGAAAAATCTAATCAATTATTATACTCCTAAAAAATTGATTCAGAAGAAACCCAAAAACTAGATTGGAAAGTTGTAGATTCAGACAAAGCAAATCTTACCAGTTCTGCCAAGCAGGTGATGGTTTCCATTGTTTCTTGGATATCAATGGATGGATTCAGGGGAAAAAAAAAAGATCACAACCCAAAAAAAGATGTACCCTTGAAAGTTGGAACAGCTGGAATGAATGTGTCTTTTCAGAATCCTTGGCTAGCTTTGCCAGCCATTTATAGATCCGGGAAATTTAATTGAGCTGCAAACAGTAAAGACATGTTTCTCTGTATTCCATTTAATTAAACTAATTAATTAAAATAATCACTGTGTGAACCCATCAAATCGCCTCACACAGAATTTGATTAAAATAAAGCTAAACAAATTAGTATTAGTACTTGGTAACACTACACAAAATAATAAATAGTACTACATGATTCTTCATAAAGTTGGTAAAATTGGGAGTACTTGGGATTTTATGAATTAAATTTTTTGCCTTTGTCTCTTTGCGAAGTCGATGTTTCGACCCATCTTCCAACTTCCAAGCTTATTAGCTGCCCGTTGAACATTTTAAGGTTGCAAGTGGAAATACCCTATATTCTTTAAATCCCTATATCAATACGACAATCTCTCCTTAAACTAGCTCGAGTTTGAAAAGATCTTACCATTCAATCAAATTTATTAAAGATTTAAGTTAACTGTAACATATATTCGCTTGAAATGATTGGTTCTCCAAGTAAAAGCTCTTACACAAAGATTATTTAAAAAAAGAAAAAAAACTCTCCCTTTTTTGCGCCTACAATATGTATTAAACTAATTAGAAAAAATACCCCACACACATGTCCAGTCTAACGTACCGTGTCACCATCATTATTATCATCGATCTCCTATTCTCCCGGAGAGAGTTGGAGAGCTCATATTAGGCATATGCCGTCCCTCTTAATTGAGTTTACCTTTGTAATGAGTTTTCCTATTGGTTTTGTTTTACAAGTGCCTAATTAGGGGAAGAAAAATACTCCATTTCGGTGGTTGATTATTAGATTGTGCAAATTATTGAGTGCTAAAATGGATATTTAAGATACAACTATCATTTTTATAGTTACATGAGATGGGAATTTTTGACTTTCAACATGGATGCCTAAGGTATATATATCTGCCGCTTTGTAATTGATGAAGTATAAATTCTTATTTTCTAGTGGATATTTAACATATAATAATTATATTTTTTTTTGTCTCAAAATAATTATTCAATTTAGATATATTCACTTATAGTCTAATTTGCACTAAAAATAAAAATTCAAACTACGTAATCATTTTAGGTCGGAGGGAAATATTATCTCTGTAGATGATGAGATACGAATTTCTGACTTTCAAATATATACATCTAAGGTACAACTACCGTGTCCATAGTTGATGACTTAAACATTTTTTTTACTTACGCAAGTTGCTTAATTTTGTGTCTTCATGCTGTAAACGGGGACACTAATTAAAAGAAATTATGACAATCTCAATTAATTTCTCAAATATAACACTTGGTTTTTTCAGGTTAAATTGAGTTATCGCGAATCAAGATCCTTAATTCTTTCGCTAACGTATTTGTTCAGCTGGTGAAATGAGTCCGTCGACCTTTTAGAGCTATCCGTTGGTTTGTCTCTGAAATTGATTAAAGAGCATCACGTACGTTCTCAAATCTAAATGGGGTGTGTCCTAATCACACAAGGCCTAACGAACAGCGTTGTGTAATTTGAAGTTTTAATTAATAATTTTTATTCAGATGTTACGTAATTATCCAGAAACAATGTACTTAGTAGTACCAACAAATTGTTTGCACCGTTACAAAGACGTTCATTCTTCCATTTGGTTCTACCACTTCCATTTTTCTTATATGTCTGCTTCAGGGTTTGCACAGATATTAAGAAAGTAATGATTGATAATTTAATTTTAAGTATAATACATTTTTTGCCCATAATTAAAACTATGGAACTATACAAAAATTTCAAATTGAAGTAAAAGAATAGATAGTTTCGTCATTAATATATGATACCAAAAATAGAGAGAGATCATGGTGAATTTGGAAAAAATTGCATTTAATACTGCATTGAAAATGAAGTGTTACAGATTTTTAAAAAAATATGATTCACCCTAAAGCGACAGATAAAAATGAAGGTAGTATATAAAATTAACATTAATAAAAAGCATATCATTTTGTTAATTAATTAGGACAATAATTTTTCCATTTTGAAGATTCGATATCTTTAACCCAAAGAAGAAGATTCAATACAAAAATAATACCCCCTCCTCCCGGTCCTTATTATAAGGTATTTTAAATTGTCTTAAATTTTATTTAGTATGTTATTTTAATTATAAATAAAATTTCTAAACATATTTTATAATAATCAAGAGAACATATAGTGAAAATATATTTTTAAATTTTTATTCTAAATTAAAAGAACATACTAGACGAAATTTAGGACAAATCAAAATGGTTTATAAAAAGGACACGAAGGAGTACATTTCATAGCAAATCCTACACGATGTGAGGCCCTCGATCGATTTAAATTCATTTACAACTTATAAAGAAGTTACAACCATTTCTATTTTATTGAGAGAAGCACGTCACTAATCTCAACTCTGTTTGAATTACAAGAAATCAACAATAGTTAATCTGAGAGCAAAACCTCATTGCTGAATTAAGGCATATATATATATATATATATATATATATATATATATATATATATGAGGTGTACCTCATGCATGGCTCACTAGGACATATTCACAAACTAAGACGTGTCATGCACCACTGGTGTAACTGAATGTTTAATTTCAACCTATTGAATCACAAATTTTTATCTTTAGTGAAAATCATAGTAATTACATTGAGAGAAATCAGCAAAGAAAAGAAAAAGTATACTCCCTCCGTCCCATAATTATTGTCCACTTTGCCCAAAAAATTTTGTCCCAAAATTATTGTCCAATTTGACTTTTTATGGATCAAGTTACACATTTGTCCTTAGTAAAAAACATTATCCATAAAATCTTTGTGGTTAAACAATTACTTTTGTAGGGGTCTATCCGGTTGTTTAAGGTAAAATGTAGTTAAGTTTGATCAAAAATAAAATCTTTCATTTTAGTAAAACTGGACAATAATTATGGGACGGAGGGAGTACAAAATTCTATCAGCGGGAGGAATCTGTAAGCATTAACTGAATCATTCAGTGTAAAGAAATTGCTAAAACGAAAGAAATCATACTCAGAAACATGAGAATTTCATACGACGTGATCACTTTGCATTAACTTTCATTTCATTTTGGATGGCCAGTATGAAAGCCGCAAATGTTAATTAGTCACTAATAATGTCTTTTTTCTAGAAAGGCTTTTGGTTAAGGAATGGCTATGGTCATCAAGTACGTACTTGAAAATTGTGGCTCAATAATGATAAATAAGTTCTGCATACGGTTCTATGTAGTTCTTATCAAAACTAAAAATTAAAAAAACCAACCGGAAGGTAGGCTAATTATTGGTTCCGTGTGGTTGATACCCATATCACCTATGCTGCATAAGAAAATATTCAAATTGTGCTACTTGACACTTCAACTATACCATTAACTAAGATATTGATAATCCGTAATTAATTATCATGACCTTCCACCTCACGTCTAACCTCTTAACTAAAATTTTTGAAGCTTGAATATATACATTGCCACAAAAACCAAATGATCAGGACTATCCGAAGATAAATTAAGAGTAATAATAGATACAACAAAATTATCTGATTAAAAATAATCATTTTAGATGTTATGGAAATACAAAATAAATGATTTTATTCTGTCATAACAAAAAAAAAAAAAAAGTTTTGATCACGCAAGCAACACTAGAACAAGATTTTATCAAAATTCTTAAAGTCAGTCTTGTTTAAAACTTTAATAAATTAACCTGAATAATCTACTATGATGGATATGATGAAGTCATCCTGTTGAGCTCTTTTTTGAGTATGCTTGCCAGCGAAGTATATGCATGATTGGTGTTATCCTGTAGAATTAAGTACGTGCATGAATTATTTCATTCTGAATTCACTATCCCCATGTTTATTCACACGGAAAGTGTTTTGACTAAGATATTAATTAAGGGATAGAAGCTGTAACCTGATTAACATGATCCAAAGAGTGGTGGAATTAAAACGCTCAAAATATAGAGTCTGTATCTAGTATACTTAGGAGCACCGTATACCCCATTCTATTTTTTGCATTTCTAGTTCTTATTGTACTTTTTTATCAATCTTTTTATATTTTGCAAGTTTAGTCCCTGTCACTTTTTCTCTCTCTTCGAAAAAAAACATCTCTAATCATTTAACGAGTATATCTCCCAATCCGTGAAGAATTTGTGAATGAATTATATATGAAATTTATAGTACTCGTCGAGATCTACCCAACAAAATCCATAGTGAATATTTTTCTGGGCTTAAAATGACTTAATTCTGATGGACAGAATAAAGGTGGATATCCAGTTTTACAAGATGGATAACCAACTTGTTCTAAATTGGTTATCCATTGTGTTCATGCTGATTATCTCATCAGTTTGGACTGGTTATCCATTTTGTTTGTACTGCTTATCCATTTGGTTTGTATGTCTATCCAACTTGTTTGTAATGGATATCCCACTTGTTTGAAATGGATATCCAACTCGCTTGTACTGGATATCCATCCATTTGGTTTATATTCTTATCCAACTTGTTTTGTAGTTATAATTCAACGGGTTTGTATGCATATCCAACTCGCTTGTACTGGATATCCATCCACTTCATATTAATTATTAAACTTCTTAATTCAAAATAAGTTGGTTATCCATCTTCTTAAACTGAATATCCAATGTGTTCATATTGATTATCCAACTCCTTTTTGATGGTTTTCCAGTATTTTTTTTTCTTGTTCTTTTATGAAAATGATTGCCAAACTTTTTTGTACTGATTATCCAACGTGTTGCACTGATTATCCAATTATTTTCTATTGATTATCCAAATTGTTTACAATGCTTATCCAATCATTTTTTTTTCTTTCTTTTTTTTTTGAAGAGTGAATGTCAAAAATATGATTGGATAACAAGTACAAACAGAATGGATAATCAGTCCAAACCGGTTAGATAATCAGTAGGAACACAACGGATAACTATTTTTCAAAGAAAAACGAAAAACACATTTCTTCATTTCTGCCCGTAAAATTTAAATGCATTTAAAGTTCAAAAAAAATATTCAACATGGATCTTATCAGATAGATTTCGTCGAGCACTATAAATTTCATGTATAATTCGTATTCTAATTCTTTACGGATCAAGAGATATATGCAATACAGGAATCTTAAGTAAACTAAACTGTTTATCCATTTTCTAAACTAGATAT